GTATGTATAACCAACCAGGGCGGCCTGATGCATCCAGGAGAGCACATGTCTTACTGTATATTCTCTCTGCTCCTTCCCATGTAGGTAACTATTGAGAGATCCACAATCTGAATATTCTATTAGTAAATAATACTCCTGAATGTAATCTATTTCAATAATATTCGTATGTCTGAGTCGCGTAACTAATTCAATATCGTCTTTCGTAAATCGAAACTCAAATTTTGAGATTGCGATCATCTCTTTATTATGCCAGAACGCTTTATGGGCAATGAAATCACCAAATCGAATATCCTGAAATTTTAGCACTCTATTATTTTGTATCTAAAAATATATTAAATATTTCAACGGTATTTACATGTAAATAACTTAATTTCAAATCGTCGGCCATCTTTGAAAATGTGAATGTGTGGATTATATGCGCATATGTTGTTCGACCGCACCCAACGAATATCAATAATGCACTGAGGAAATCGCAATTGACTCATCGCATGCGATAAGACTAAGATAAGTGTTTGCGCTATCAGCTTGTTGATAGCTTTATTGTCAATAATAAAAAAGTTGCTTTTTCACCAGTTAAAAAAAAAAACAAACGAATGCGGCGCATGCTTTTATTCACAAGACCGAACTGACTCGGATGCATGTACTTCTGTACATACATACATATGTACATGCATACATATGTACATGCATACATATGTACATACATACATATGTACATAGATACATATGTACATACATACATATGTACATACATACATATGTACATACATACATATGTACATACATACATATGTACATACATACATATGTACATACATACATATGTACATACATACATAAGTACATACATACATATGTACATACATACATATGTACATACATACATATGTACATACATACATATGTACATACATACATATGTACATACATAGATTGATACACATACATATGTACACACATACATATTTACATACATACATATGTACATACATACATATGTACATACATAGATTGATACACATACATATGTACACACATACATATTTACATACATACATATGTACATACATACATATGTACATACATAGATTGATACACATACATATGTACACACATACATATTTACATACATACATATGTACATACATACATATGTACATACATAGATTGATACACATACATATGTACACACATACATATTTACATACATACATATGTACATACATACATATGTACATACATACATATGTACATACATAGATTGATACACATACATATGTACACACATACATATTTACACACATACATATGTACATACATACATATGTACATACATAGATTGATACACATACATATGTACACACATACATATTTACATACATACATATGTACATGCATACATATGTACATGCATACATATGTACATACATACATATGTACATAGATACATATGTACATACATACATATGTACATACATACATATGTACATACATACATGCATACATAAATATCTATATACATACATGCCGTCTCATTCCCACACATGCGCTCGCATATTCATGCATAAAGAAAATGCTTGCGGCTGCTGATAGAAATGAGATCAATATGCGAATATATCATCGACTATAACATGGGTGTTTCTTATCCCATCATGATGAAATTTGGGCAGTTGGTCAATGTCAATTATAAACACATGCATATTATGTATGAATTAGAAGAATTGGCTCTTATAGCTATCGGAAATCGAAATGTATCGATATTCGGGAAACTGAGGCTGCTATCGATCAAATAAAGCAAATAAATAAATATGTATATACATACAGTGTCTCGCAGTTCAACTGGAACAGCGCCTAGCAAAAAATTTAATTGCCTGCCATAAACTAATTATTCAATATTTTTCAAAAATTTCAAAGACCGATGGCACGTATATATATTAATCACCTAAATGACTATATGACCCCCATAAGCTGGGGTTTCCCCAACTGCTAGGTCAGGTTATGTAAAAAAAGTACCTTAATTTATGGTCACATATTATTTGGAACAAGGGCGTTATGGACACCTGGGTGCCATAAAACCCGGATTTTTTTACGTCAGGTTGATTATTTTCGGTATAAGTAGACATATTCTTCGTAGTCAGTTTAGTTATATCCTGCATCTCGGGTGCCACCAACCAACAAGGACTATGGACAAACGGACTACCATTGAGCAACGGAATCTCATCCTGGAACAAAATGGTAAATCTAAGCACCACAACTGTATTCAACATCAATCGGCGCTTCGTCGACGAAAATCGGATAGAGGACAAGGGCAGAAATGCACCAAACAAGATTTTCACCGAACAGGAGGAGCGGAGGATCATCAGGAAAATAATGGAAAATCACAAGCTATCGGCTCCAAAACTGACTCAACAGGTGTAGGACGAAATGGGGCAAAAGTGCAGTATGGAAACTGTGCGCCGGGTTCTGCACAACCATGACTTTAATGCCCGAGTACCACGGAAGAAGCCCTTTATAAGCGCAAAAAATAAAGGGACTAGGATGTCATTCGTCAAAACCCACTTGGACAAGGATTTGGAGTTCTGGAACACAGTCATATTTGCAGATGAGTCCAAATTCAACATTTTTTGCTCGGACGGACGGAATTATATGTGGCGACAGTCCAATACTGAGCTGAGTCCCAAAATCCTAAAGGCAACAGTCAAGCACGACGGAGGAAGTGTCATGGTATGGGCATCTATCTCGGAAGCTGGTGTCGGAAATTTGGTGTTCATTGAAACAACAATGGACAAGAATGTGTATTTCAATATATTAAAGGAAAATGTACTCCAAAGTGCCGAGAAGCTAGGAATCCGGCGAACTTTCCGGTTCTACCACGATAACGACCAGGACAACAGCCAAGCATAAGTCCGGATTAGTACAGTCCTGGCATATCTGGAACTGCCCCATAATTCCACAGGCCCAGTCTCCAGATTTAAATGTTATTTAAAATTTGTGGGCTCTGCTGGAAAATAACATCTGGAATCACAGATCCGATCTCAAGAATGCTTTTCTGGATGAGTGGAGCAAAATCAGTCCAGAAACGACCCGGAAGCTGGTATCTTCCATGCATAATAGGTTAGGGGAAGTTATTAAGGCTAAAGGATATCATACTAAGTATTAACATCCTTATTTAAGTTTTTATACATCTAATATGTTACTTTTCTAAGACTGTTCCACAACCTTATAGCACTTTAAATTTTTTGCTAGGCGCTGTTCCAGTTGAACTGTAAGACACTGCATATCTGTAGGACGTGTCCAGTGTTTCGCAGTGGCCAGCTCAGTATTCCCAGAGGTGGGTAACTCCAGCCCTGCCCGTGGACGGTACAGACTCAAAAAAAAACTCGACCTACACAACACTACATAAAGACCTACATGCACACACAAAACAAACGAAAAGGCTGACGGGCCTGGTGTTTATGCCCACGACGTACCCGCCCTTCCTGCAATGGGCCTGCACGGATTTGATTTGCCCATCGCCCTTAAATTGTAGTTGACGACTAATTTATTCCATGCTCCCGGGGATTCTCCCCTGTATTTAACTTACTGACAGATCGTCGTTATTTCCTTACAATTTATTAACAAACAATTAGCGTTGTATGCTGCAACGGCTATTCAATTTTGAATTTAAATCGGGAATCTTTCCAAATCGGATGAAACCAAAATAAAAAAATTCAACAAATATGACTATTACTTTAGGTGGCCCTCAATCCCTATCATACCCTATTAGAGCTCCAATATAAGTATTCAGTGTATGGGGGGGTCGTGCAAAAATGGATTCCCCAATTTGGCAAAAATCCGGACGCCGGATTTTGTTGAAGAACACGGATAACTTAGAAATTTAAATTAATAATAGATACGTGAATAAATAAATACATTAACATAAATAACGAAGAGCTCTACAAATTTGCTTAACATAACATTCAACATTTACATAAATATACTGGAGGAGGGGTGGGTGTGCTGGAGCACTGCGCCCTGGGCGCTGAATTTGGGTTTGGCACTGATCACATGCGCGCAGTCGACTTGCACTCGACAGGGCGTGGATCTGATTTTTGTTTGACATGTGTTTCTCTTTGCCCCTTTTTTTTTTTTTTTTTTTTTTTACAATTTGTAGTTTATGTTGAATTCTGGGTCGATTGAGTTTACTGCGCTCGAACTACGTGGCTGGTTACTGAAGGTTTATCCTATCCTGATGGCACCTATTCCATACCGGAACGCACTCACCGGCTGAAGAAATACCGTCGGTGCGCTTGCGCGCTGCCAATATCAGGGGATGGTGTATTCGCCCAGTGTTTCCCTCCAGCAATTTTTGCGCGACGGCCAGGTCGTTGTTGCGTCAACTTCAGAGCATATGACATTAATTATACAATTGCGGCGTGACCTGCCGTTGGCCACCTAAACATAAACCACAAAATTAGAACAGCACAACAATTATTCACACAGACACACTTCAGCCGAATTTGGCTTCACAAGGTCTATCGAATATGGAGGGTTAAGGCACTCCTAAAGGTACGTCAACATTTGCTCGTACGGCACAAAAATGTAAGCGCTATGGACCACGACCTGCCTCGCAGCGTTTTTTCTTTTCCCACACGTGTTACTTGTCCTTATATGTCCTTACATGCAATGCTGATCTCGCGGACCCTGCCAACTTGCTCCCTCTTTTCAGCAATGTGGCTCTTTAAATTTCACTTTTGGTTGTGGCATACGATAATTGAATATCGATATGTCTGCAAATGCAACATATTGATATATGTATGTACATACATATTTTTTGAATGAGAAATCCCAATGCTGCATCAAATCACACAGTTCGAAATCATATTCAGCATTTATCCATGTTGTTAATAATTCATTTTGCCGCACTCAGAAAACTGCCATTGATTTTCGGTGCACCACTAATAATAATTGGCATTCACTGCGAAATTGTGAGCAAATGCAGTGCTGGGAATTGAAGATACTTATAGATTAGGGATATTTATTGAAATGCTGATTTTGAATTTATAGATTAAAGATGATCATTCTATATATCTATCCTTCTTCGCTTGCTGCTGCTGCTACTTTCTTGCTGCGACGACGAATTGGACGACGAATTGGAGGATGTCGATGAACGTGACGAGGGCACTGATGATTTTGCTTTATTCACTGCCAGCGGCAAGGGCTCATCCGCTATGAGAACAGTGGACGTGCCAGTTGGACAAGTTGCACTTGGCGTCGGCGTTGGACCTGAGTTGGGCGCAGCGATTGTAGCAGCTGCAGGTTTGACAATATAAATATCAGAACACGGAATTCCAGAAAGTTGAATTGATCCGGCAGAGGGTCGCTTCCCTGGATCGTGGTTCCAACAACTCTCAATCAGTTCTATCAATTGGTTACAGTCCGTAATAAGTTTAACATCCAGTTCCGGTCGTTCTTTGATTGCGGTTTTATGCAAAAGTGCGATTGCATTGGGATTTTCAAGGTGATCGAAAGGCCTTCTGCGAGACATTACCTCCCATACAATAATGCCAAAGCTGTAAGTATCACATTTTTCCGTATATTGTAGCCCTTCTATAACCTGCGAATAAATAAAGGAACATACTATATATTTTGACAATGTGTAAATTTGTTAATTAATAAAAACCTCGGGCGCCATATAACCAGGTGTGCCAATTTGTGTCGTATTTTTTGGCATCAATTCTTTAACGGTGCCAAAATCTGCAATCTTCAACTGTTTGAAGTTTTCGGTTAGTAGTAAATTTTGAGGTTTCAAATCGCGATGAATTATAGGCATTGGTTTTCGACCATGCAAGTAATCCATACCCTATAAGTGAGAACAGGAATTAAATTACATGTTACATATTTATTATATTACGCGAACGAACCTTAACCAGCTGAATCATCCAATGAATTCCATCTTCCATTGTGTAATTGCGTTGTTCCTCCCCATGCAAGTAGTCATAGAGCGATCCATTCTTAGCATATTCCATGAGTAAATAATCAGTCTCCAGATGAGAGGAGATACCATATAGTTTCACAATATTTTCGTGGTGAAGAGATGCAAGCATTTTCACCTCTTTGTTAAATGAATCAAGGACACTTTGTGAATTTCTTTCTAGTCTGAATTTTTTCAACGCAATAATTTTGTGACACCAAAGGGCCATGTAAACACTGCCAAAGGCACCTTCTCCAAGAGTTCTTGTTTTGTTTTTATTATGTATATTCGGAATCGGAACAATCTGTATATGCTTATAATCCACATTTTTAATTTTCAATTTGCTGTAAATAATTAGAATAAAATGAAATGAAAGCAGGATGAAAAATATTTAATTTGTTACATTCACAACTTACCTCGATCTTTCATCTATAAGTTTCTTAAACTGGATCAGAAAACATTAAAAGTGAGAACAGATACGCATAAGTATATTAATATTACCTCTTCTTTCTTCATGGGTCGTATGACTTGAGAAACTATTCTAGATTCAGAAGTTCTGCAATCAAATAAGTAACACAAATTCAAATTCAGTTATCTTACAACTAGTTGAAATTCAAATCAAGCTTACATAAGTATACTTTCAAGAAAAGAGGCGATATATTCGATTTCCAATTTCATTGTCGAAAGCGCATCAATTATACCTTCTATATGCTCTGTGCCTTCCAAAACAAACATTGGTGAGTGACGAGTTACTGAACGATCAAATGTCTGGCGTGTCATCACCTCCAATAGAATAGTGACAAGGCAGAAAATATCCCAAGAATTCGGTTCCGATCTTAGAAAGTCTGATAACGCTTTAATATACATTTCATATTCCAGAGGCATTGACAGTTTTGCAGGAATGCCAAAATTGCATATTTTCAAAATTCGGTTATTGCCGGTTAGAAGTAGGTTGTGTGTTGTCAAGCAGTTATGATAAATGGGTTCTGGTTTCATGGCATGCAAGTAGGCCAAGCCCTATAAGTGGGAATGTTAATTAAAATCATAATTGTTAAATACAAATTGTACAGCATAAGCAAAATAAACCTTGGCACACTGGGCCATCCAACTGAGTCCACGAGCCAACGTATACTCAAACTTCTCTCCTCCATGCACGTAGTTGTGAAGAGTTGTACACTCAAGATAATTCATAAGGATAAATGCATCTTTCTTATGAGCTATAATTCCAAATATTTTCACAATATTCTCATGGGAAACTCGGCTGGCAAAATCTTTTAAGTTTTCGAAGTCTGCTGAAATCCATTTGCAATGCTGAACTGCGATCTTTTTGTTACACCAATTAGCTTTGTAGATAGCTCCGAAGGAACCTTGTTCAACACATTCCTGGTGGGTTAAGGTAAATGTTTTTAAAATGAAATATATTTATATTTTGTACACAACCTCTCCAAGTTTAATATCCGCAAAGTCTACGGCCGTAAACACTTCAGGTTCAATCTTAGCAACTTTGACAAACCTGCGAAATAATTTGTATATTGAACAACAGAAAGATTGAAAGATCATTTATATTACTAAATTCGATTTCGAATTAAAACTTACTCAGGCTTATGCAGCTCTTTGACAAGTTTAGAAATTGTAGGACGCTTTTCTGGGTTTGCATCCCAGCAATTTTTAATTGTTTCCTGTGTGTAATTCAACTCTGATTCAATTTCATCACTCAGAGGCGGACGCGTGCCTGAAAAACTCAAAGTTTTTGTATGCTTTGTTGCTAATTTTCAAACTTTCGTACCTTCTAGGATCTCATCTATTTCATTGCTTTTAAAAGGTTTTTCAAATTGAGAGAAGGGCTTCTTGCGATACATCACCTCCCAAAATACGATCCCAAAGCTATATATGTCGCTCTCTCTTGTATATCGGACTTCTTTGAAGACCTGCTCAGGAATTAATGTTGTTATTAAAAGAAAAAATAATGGAGTGAATGGAAATACAAACCTCCGGTGCTACATAGGCGTGATCTTGATATTTTGCGAGGGATTTAATATCTCCCGGAAAGCAGTAATCACTGATTTTCAAGAGCCTGAAGTTGTCGAACAGCAACATATTTTGAGAATTTAAATTGCAATGTATAATTGACTTTGGCCTCGTCTGCAGAAACTCAATTCCCTTTAGGCAAAATTGAAAATCACTTTAAATTAATCGGGCAAAAATAAAAAGTAAGAAATAAAATAAAATACCTTTGCCGCCTGATACATCCAGTGGAGGCAAAATGGCTTGACTGTGTAACTTTGCATTTCCTCACTGTGCAAGTAGTTGTGGAGGGATCCACAATCAGAATATTCCATGGCTAAATGTGCGATTTCCTTAATATAACCAATACCATATAGTTTCACAACATTCGAATGGTCAATGCGTGACTGTCGTGTGATCTCTTTTTCAAGTTCAGATTTGACTTCATTCCTTAAAACTTGTTTATATTTTTTCAAGCCGATCTCCAAATCACGCCAATCAGCTTTGTAGACAATGCCAAAGTCATTTTTCCCAAGAATCTGCAGGAAATAAATGTTAGTTGGAATAGAATAATAAATGTAGTTAGTTAGAATAATACATCATTTATATTTATGTCCGCAAAATCGATGATGACGATATCAAATTTCCTGAAAAACAATAGAGATTAAATTTAGTAGTTAATATTGAAAATTGTTTTAAGATTTTAAGAACATTCTTTAGTAATTACTTTGAGAGAATCATATAATTTGGGCCACTTTCAAATATTCTTTTTAAATCTTCCAATTGTGGTCGGTCCGCCGGGTCCTCATACCAACATTTGGTAAGAAATAATTTTAATTCATCTGTGCATACTGCAGGAATATCCTCAATATTCGGTCGTTCACCTGCAAGAGTCAAAGTGATGAAATCTCTTCGGTTGAATATCATCTTTCGTACCTCTTACGACTGCTCTCTTAATTTGGAATTGATTTTGATAGTTATAAAAAGGCATCTTGCGTGCTAGTATCTCCCACAAGATAATACAAAGGGTGTATACGATGCTCTTTTCAGTGTATTCTCCTTCTTTGATTACCTACGCGTGAAGTAATATATATAATAAATTGTTACAAATTTGTTTGGCAGATACACAAACCTCTGGTGCTATGTAGGACTTATCTAAATTGTGCTTTAACACATCTTTATCGTCGAACGCAAGGCAAAAATTACATAACTTCACTTTGTTATTAGATAACATAATATTTGAAGACTTCAAATTGCAAAGGAAACGAATGTCCATCTTTATCTTAGATCGAAAGTAATCAATAGCCTACAAATAAAATTCGTAATTACAATTTGTAAGTTATTACATATAAGTGCATATGCTCAGTTATAGAAAATACCTTGACAGCAAGCAACATCCAAGCGCAAACATCATGCAAAGGAATGGGTTTCGTGTTATTGTGGATACGATCGAACAGGGATCCATTCTCTATGTATTCCATCAGTAAATATGTAAATTCTCCTTCCATTGCAATGCCAAGCACTGATACAACAGATTTACCTGATAAAGCAATTAGCTCCCTGATTTGATGTTTAATGTTTTCATTCATAACTTGTTTCAATCTTTTTACAACAATAGTCGAATGATACAACGTCGCCTTATACGTAACGCCAAAGGTGCCCTTATGCATTTCCTGTAAAATGTAGAAAAATAAATTTATAAATCTATTCGGGATAGAAGTAAGTTAATATTGTTCAGAGCACAAGATTGTAGTAATCCAACGCGATTTTTTATTATTACCTCGCCCATTTCAATGGCTGCAAAGTCCCAGATTGATCCTGTATCAGCAGTTAACACATGATCTAATTCTGAAGAGTCGAAACTTCTGCAATAATATAAATCATTAAATAGATATGTTATCTGTGAATGGTAAATTTCGTATTGAGCTTACTCAAGAAAATTTCCGATATCGGACAATATCTCTTCCATCGCTGGCCTTCTATCCGGATCCGAATTAAAGCATTTTTCAATTAATTCTTTGATCGGTTCAGAGTTAGGTATTTTTATTTCATTAAGTAACGAAATCTCTCCTACGAAAGTAATGCATTTAATATCTGTGTGTAATCGCTATTGGGTAAGTTATTCACCAATAATTATTGGGATCCTTCGCGGGTTAGGCAGATCATCACCAAGGCGACTTAAATGTGTCTTTCGCGACATTAACTCCCAAAAGATAATGCCAAAGCTATATATGCTCTCTGCTTTCAGCTGCGTGAAAAAAATGGAGATGATTTATATATGTATATATATAGATTTATTCATATTTAGTCTATTTATAGAGAACCTCCGGTGATGTATTTGCCGAATACTCGTTGAAAATCTTCGAAATAGGTGAGATTTTTAATGTGCGAAATTGGTTGAATAATATAAGTCTCTCGGTACTTATACGTTGAAGGAACCGGATTGCTTTCATAGAATGGAGGTACTGCATACTCTATAATTGAAATGATTTAATTACATAGGCCATCAAAGATACGTATGTATAACCAACCAGGGCGGCCTGATGCATCCAGGAGAGCACATGTCTTACTGTATATTCTCTCTGCTCCTTCCCATGTAGGTAACTATTGAGAGATCCACAATCTGAATATTCTATTAGTAAATAATACTCCTGAATGTAATCTATTTCAATAATATTCGTATGTCTGAGTCGCGTAACTAATTCAATATCGTCTTTCGTAAATCGAAACTCAAATTTTGAGATTGCGATCATCTCTTTATTATGCCAGAACGCTTTATGGGCAATGAAATCACCAAATCGAATATCCTGAAATTTTAGCACTCTATTATTTTGTATCTAAAAATATATTAAATATTTCAACGGTATTTACATGTAAATAACTTAATTTCAAATCGTCGGCCATCTTTGAAAATGTGAATGTGTGGATTATATGCGCATATGTTGTTCGACCGCACCCAACGAATATCAATAATGCACTGAGGAAATCGCAATTGACTCATCGCATGCGATAAGACTAAGATAAGTGTTTGCGCTATCAGCTTGTTGATAGCTTTATTGTCAATAATAAAAAAGTTGCTTTTTCACCAGTTAAAAAAAAAACAAACGAATGCGGCGCATGCTTTTATTCACAAGACCGAACTGACTCGGATGCATGTACTTCTGTACATACATACATATGTACATGCATACATATGTACATGCATACATATGTACATACATACATATGTACATAGATACATATGTACATACATACATATGTACATACATACATATGTACATACATACATATGTACACACATACATATTTACATACATACATATGTACATGCATACATATGTACATACATACATATGTACATACATACATATGTACATACATACATATGTACATACATACATATGTACATACATACATATGTACATACATAGATTGATACACATACATATGTACACACATACATATTTACATACATACATATGTACATACATACATATGTACATACATACATATGTACATACATAGATTGATACACATACATATGTACACACATACATATGTACATACATACATATGTACATACATACATATGTACATACATACATATGTACATACATACATATGTACATACATACATATGTACATACATACATACATATGTACATACATACATATGTACATACATAGATTGATACATATACATATGTACAGTGTCTCACAGTTCAAAAGACCATTGTCTAGCAAAAAATTTAAAGTGCTATAAAGCTTAATCAAAGAAACAAACGCAAAATGTTTAAATGCCATTTTGTTTTATGTTATATCACGTTTGAAAAATAAACATAAGTTTTTATTAAAATATTAATTAATTAATTAAAATTAGTCAAAAACTGAAGACATATCCAAAATACATGTCAAAGTTTTTTTGGAACAGTCGTAGAAAAGTAACATATTAGACGTATAAAAACTTAAATAAGGATGTTAATACTTAGTATGCTATCCTTTAGCCTTAATAACTTCCCTTGACCTATTATTCATGGAAGATACCAGCTTCCGGGTAGTTTCTGGACTGATTTTGCTCCACTCATCCAGAAAAGCATTCTTGAGATCGGATCTGTGATTCCGGATGTTATTTTCCAGCAGAGCCCACAAATTTTAAATAACATTTAAATCTGGAGACTGGGCCTGTGGAATTATGGGGCAGTTCCAGATATGCCAGGACTGTAATAATCCGGACTTATGCTTGGCTGTTGTCCTGGTCGTTATCGTGGTAGAACCGGAAAGTTCGCCGGATTCCTAGCTTCTCGGCACTTTGGAGTACATTTTCCTTTAATATATTGAAATACACATTCTTGTCCATTGTTGTTTCAATGAACACCAAATTTCCGACACTGGCTTCCGAGATAGATGCCCATGCCATGACACTTCCTCCGTCGTGCTTGACTGTTGCCTTTAGGATCTTGGGACTCAGCTCAGTATTGGACTGTCGCCACATATAATTCCGTCTGTCCGAGCAAAAAATGTTGAATTTGGACTCATCTGCAAATATGACTGTGTTCCAGAACTCCAAATCCTTGTCCAAGTGGGTTTTGACGAATGACATCCTAGTCCCTTTATTTTTTGCGCTTATAAAGGGCTTATTCCGTGGTACTCGGGCATTAAAGTCATGGTTGTGCAGAACCCGGCGCACAGTTTCCATACTGCACTTTTGCCCCATTTCGTCCTGCACCTGTTGAGTCAGTTTTGGAGCCGATAACTTGTGATTTTCCCTTATTTTCCTGATGATCCTCCGCTCCTCCTGTTCGGTGAAAATCTTGTTTGGTGCATTTCTGCCCTTGTCCTCTATCCGATTTTCGTCGACGAAGCGCCGATTGATGTTGAATGCAGTTGTGGTGCTTAGATTTACCATTTTAGCTATTTGGCGATGTGAATATCCGATCTTGAAGTGTTCCAGGATGATATTCCGTTGCTCAATGGTAGTCCGTTTGTCCATAGTCCTTGTTGGTTGGTGGCACCCGAGATGCAGGATATAACTAAACTGACTACGAAGAATAGGTCTACTTATACCGAAAATAATCAACCTGACGTAAAAAATCCTGGTTTTATGGCACCCAGGTGTCCATAACGCCTTTGTTCCAAATAATATGTGACCATAAATTAAGGTACTTTTTACAACCCCAGTTTATGGGGGTCGTATAGTCATTTAGGTGGTTAATATATGTACCTGCCATCGGTCTTTGGAATTTTTGAAAAATATTGAATAATTAGTTTATGGCAGGCAATTAAATTTTTTGCTGGGCGCTGTTCCAGTTGAACTGCGAGACACTGTATGTATTAAATGAAAAATACCAATGCGCATGTCGAAATCCTATTCAGCTTTTATTTATGTTGCTAACAAATCATTTTGCTGCACTCAAAATACTGCCAGTGATTTTCGGTGCACCACTAATATTAATTGACATTCACTGCGAAAATATAAGCAAACCCAGTGCAGGGAATTGAAGATACTTATAGATTAGGGATATTTATTGAAATGCTGATTTTGTATTTATAGATTAAAGATAATTATTCCATATATTTATCCAAGTGCATTTAAATGCCCACTACTTGGATCTTCGCTTGCTGCTGCTGCTGCTCTCGTGATGCTTGCTTTTGCTAGAACTGGATTTAGTGTTTGAGCTGATGCGACGAGAGGAGGAGGAAGTGGCACTGTGCTTGTCCTGACCACCGATGGTGTTCAGCGAATGTGCCACATCCGATTTGCTCGAGCCGCGCTCCTCTTTGTGCGACTTTGACGAGGAGGACGATTTGTGGCCATGTTTGCTGCCACTGCCACTGCTGCTTGCCACATTTGCTGAACTGCTCAGCTCCGGTTTGTAGAAGGGCGACGACGAATTGGAGGATGTCGATGAACGTGACGAGGGCACAGATGATTTGGCTTTATTCGCTGCCAGCGGCAAGGGCTCATCCGGTATGAGAACAGTGGGCGTGCCAGTTTGACAAGTCACACTTGGCGTCAACGTCGGCGTTGAAGTTGGAACTGTGTTAGGCGCAGCGATTGTGGTAGCTGCACGGCTAGTGGTGGGCTTGTTGCAACAATTGTCGCACTGCCAGATGTGCTCCTGATCATCGCTCGCCTCCTCGTTGGTAATGGCGGGCTTATGGCATTCCTGGTGATACAGGGCACCACACTTGGAGCACTCGATCAACCGATTGGTGGCCGTGAAAACCATTTCGCCACAGACACAACAATTTAGGTCACCAAAGTCGCCGGTATCGCCGGTGTTGACGACACCGCTCATGGCTACGACCAGACCACCGATGGTGGTGCTGCCATCATCTGAATCGGCAATGGTGTCAGGTGAATCCGATGGCGCTTTATCCGGTGAATTGGTCAAATTGATAATCTCATCCGTGGCGATTGCTTGGGCCGCTTGCTGAGGCTGTGGCGTCGCCCTGCCCGGAAAATTCGCCTCATCATCCATGAGACGCTGGCTCAGATTCTTTGCAATCATCTTGTCCGGCCCGAAGCGCAGTTTGAGCGCCTCATCGAGCAACAACCGAAGCTCCGACGCCGAGCTTGCATTTGTTGAATGCAACAATTTGATTGCCTTCTTCAGTACAGGATCAACTTCCTGGGTAGCAGCGGCGGCTGCCACAATATTTGCAGCCATTGTTTATTGCGTGACTAAAAGATTCGAATGTTTAAAATCTACTTCAATTTTGTTAACAACTCACTAATAAAAAACATGGAGCCAAGAAATTTGCTTAAGAAAACAAAAGCAAAATAAAAATTACTTTAATTGTCGAACAGCTGTTTTAGTGCGTGTGCGTTACTCAACACTGTGTTATTGACGTCGCCCTGGTTTCATTTACTTTGTGCTTCTTCCTCTTCAATGCTGTTGCGCTGTTTTCTTGCATTTGCCACCCACAAACCGCTACGACTGTTAACCGAGTTTTTTGTGCTCTAATCAATTTCGCTTGCGTTTGCAAATTGTACCGTGCAGTGTTTATTTAACTCTAAGAGTAACAAAAGCCTGCGCACAATTTGTATGATTCATTATCGTTCGCTTATCGTTGGTTGCATTCAAAGCGCGCCGATCAGATAAGTTCTTTGAAAAATCGAAACAACAACAAATAAACAATTGAGTGCTGTTAAATAGTTAAGAAGTGATGAAGGAGGAGGGCTGAAGAGCTGATAAATCCAATATTTTCTTATAAGTATTTGTTATTTCTTGCTGACAAATATTTGTGGAAGCTGTGCCATTATTATCCGTCATGAGTAATATGGACATAAAAGGGGCTTGTGGCGCCACAAAGACGTTGCCGCTACTGCTACTGATGTTTGCGTTTGTGTGCAACGCCAGTGCTGGAGATGACGCAAATCAGCTGGTGAGTGTTGGGCTGAACTGTGTTGGGGTTGTGGTTGTCAGTATTGCATTGTGTTTGTTTTTGTAACCAATGTTTATTACCAATCACTGGTTAACAGCTGTTAAGCATTTATACTGCGCACTTGTTGCCATGTTAACAACGATAAGCTATGGATTTTGGTCAGCCATATACAATGTGTGTGTGTGTACGCGAGTATGTGTGTATGCTCCATAATTACTCTTTGTTAGCCGTATTATCAATCAATTTAGGCAGCCGAACATACTTGTTAACAGTTAACAGTGCACTAACAGTGACAGTTACTTTTTCAAAATTTCCCTTACAGGATTCAACATCACACGATTGCACGCTAACGGAGCCGGTCTACGGCTACAAATTTGACTTTAGCGGTCTACACTCGGAACTGGGGCATGTAGTGGGCATCGAAAGCAACAGCGATCTTTTTGAGTTTAACGTCTGTGGCAATCTGAAGCGCAGCTGCAACAACGAGACGAACGTCGCCGCCTGTCTCAAGAAACAGGGCAAGGAGTATGTGCTGGGTAAGTGCAATATATTTGATATTGGATGTAAATTGTAAATAGTTATATTGAAAAATGTATACAATGACAGGTCGACAGCATGAGCTGCATTATCACAATGGCAAAATGTATCTAAATTATTTGAGTGGTGTCAAGTGTGCAAATGGAACCGCTGACAATCCCAACTATCAGCTGCATGTGCGTCTCATCTGTGATTATACGCTGGACACCAATCCGCTGCATCTTACTGCCTATGTATGTATACACTATCTAAAATCATATGTATTTAACAATTTGCTTTGCTGCAGGCTGATGACTCATGCTCCTTCTATATTGACTATGAGACGCCGCTGGCATGCTTACCCATACCGGATGCGATGCAGTCGAATAGTTGCAGTGTCGACTATACTAATAAGGGCGATAGATTCGATTTGATGTCGTTGAGCGATACTAACTATAGGACCACAGATCGTCAGGGCGGTTTCTTCATAATCAACGTTTGCAAGCCGGTGCTTTACGGCGAGAATGCCATGTGCCCTGCCGGCAGCAGTATTTGTTTGTTGTCGCCAGGCCAGATTGATATCAAGAAGCGGTACGTTCTACATTTGGTTGAACTATTCTTGAACTTGAGCCGAAAAAACTTTAGCTGTATTTTAAACATTCTTTTTCAATCTCTTTTGTGTGTGTGTTTTTATTTGCAGTTTCATTAACTTTGGCAATGTACAAGCGCAGCCGGAAATCAAGGATGGCAAGCTGCTGCTGCGTCATGAGTCCTTTACGCCTTGTGGCGGAAATGCGAGCCTTAATTACACGAGCATTGTTAATTTCTATTGTGACAAGAGTGTTATGGTGTGTGAAATAAGATTTGCCAATATATGCTTAAATTTAATTAATTATATTTTTAAGAATGCACATCCCGAACTAATTGGTACCGATCCGGATGGCTGCACGTATCAGTTTAGCTTTTTCACACCGCTTGCCTGCAAGGATGTGAAACCCTGCACGGCCATCGCTGCTGGTAATGAGCTGTAAGTAAACTTGACGCGACTCGAGTCGCCACATCTACTCAACTCTCTATATTTTACTGTGCATATGCAACAGGCTGGACTTGAGTCCGCTCGGTAGCCACGCGGCGCATACTTTGAGCAAGGATGGCAAAAGCTATACGGTGGCCGTGTGCAACAGTGCTGGGACGCCCTGCATGGCGAATGATGGTAAGTCGGTCATTTGTTGTCTGAATTATAAATAAAGATTTTAAGTGCAGCAGCAGCCGCAGCAGCAGTAGCAGCTGCAGCTGTCGAGGTTGCACGTATGTGTGTAGCATGTTGCACGTCACAAGCGTAATTAAAATTTTACGGCTGTTATATATATTTAAGTACGCGAAAAAATAGGTAAATTCTTTTGACTCGCTGCGAGGCAATGCCTTAAACTGCTTAACTGCTTATTTCTCGTAACTTGAATTACATTTATATATATATATCTATATATATATATATATATATATATATATATACTTTTTACACGTTTTCAGTCAAATTGTTCACTTTTAATCCGTGGGCATTTTGTGCGCGTTACAGAAAATTGCATAACTGTGCTAATTTGCACACTTTAAGCTCTGGGGATGATTCATATTCACGATGCGGTCATCAGAAACATATATATATATATATATATATATATATATAACATAAGTATATATAGTATAAGCATGTATATACCTATGAACAATTCATGTGCAAGACCTAGTCGAGTGCGCATTAGGCAAAGCCAACAATTTTAGTTTTCTGCTTTAAAATTAGAGAGAGTGTTTGTGAAATTCTTCATTGATGAACAAACCGAAGCTTTGCTGCTCTGCTTTTCTTATATAATAGCAGCTAATTATTATACTATATTAGATTAATAACCTCAACATTTCTTAAATTTACATCTCATATGTGTAAACTAGTTTATTTTCGCATAAGGCACAACATTCTGTTCATTCAATATTTGTAAACGATGTTCTGAATGTAAGAACTTCAATTCGAGTAATTTAAAATTTCTTAAATAAATGAAAAGGAAATCTCAAAATTTTAAGAAATCGTGAAAAATTTAAAAAAAATTTATTATTGACAAATGTGACACATAAATAAATTAAATTTAAATTAAAAAATAGTTATAATAAAATTAAATAATTTGTTTGAAAACTATATAACGATTCTTTGCAAGGATTAGTAACTGATTCCCGGTACCTGCTTGGGCATATTTTCATCATGCACAATGTGGTATAACGCTATTCAAAATTTTTCGTAATTTTAGCAAGTTAAATGAAATTTGAAGCATGTCGATCCATAAAAAAGACTTGATTTGCATACTAAAGAACAAATTTTTTAAATTTCTAAAGAACTCAACGATAATTGAGTAATGTGTATCCGCTTGGATACAATGGCTAAAAATGTATGCATTTTTAACAAATTATTTTCTAATATTTTCAATTAAACTTAGCATAAAAACTGTATAGTTTTCGGTTGCGGCATAAGAACATTTCCACATCGAATTTCAGCACGATTTCCCATCAAGTCAATTGAATTCTTCAGCTAATTGTAAAGCAGATCAGCGAATCAGTAATACATATATATTTGTAACACAAGAAGCTTAGCTTTTCTATGTTGAGCTACTTTTTTATTTAGCTCAGATCACATTGATTTGGCAATATGCTCGTGAAATGAAAGCGAATGTAAGCGAAAACAGTAAACATCAACCATGTGGGGGCTTCTGTTGGCATGGCAAACGTGCCTGGGCATATCTATGAAATATACAAAGCACCAGCATATCCCAACACGCACATACACACGCACACACACACACACGCACACATACGCACACACATGCCTGCATTTCTAGTTGACTGCAGACGCATTACCATTTGGCGCGTCCTTTTTGCTTGGATGCGCCTGCTCGCGGCTCATGTTTTAAAACGAGGTGCAGGAAGGGAGAGGGAGTGGAAGAGAGAGAGAGAGAATATGGAGAAAGGGGTAGAAAAAGAGATAGAGAGATTGGGGCACGAAATCATGGCCACCGCTGGGCCTAAACAAATAAATAAGCACACTCGCTTTTGGCAACTGACATTGCTATCCGGCCCAGACACCATCTATGGTGCAGTGTTAGCGGCATGTGAAGGGGAGGAGGAGGAGGAGGAGGTAGGGGGCATCACATTTTCCGGCATACTACACGAAAATTTCATTTGTTAAGCAAATAGCGGACACGGTCACGCAAACAGAAAAGAGAGCCGCGAAAAGCGCCTCCTGCATTTTCTATTTGTCTTTGTATTTGTATGCAATTCTCCTGCTGTTACACTCAAAAAAAAAAACGACCTGAAGCTGTAAGTTTGTTTTGTTTGTTTTGTACATATATAAATATATCTTCTAATTAAGTAGGCCTTTTTTATGTTTTCTAGAAGTTTGTAGGAAAAATAAAGAAAGAAGTAATAAAATATGATCTCTTAACTGTAATTTGAAAGTTGAGCTGTTGATTTTAAGTTATATTAATTAATCAACTATCTAAACTCTGTGTATATGTGAACACTTAAAATACTAATGTTTATTAAAAATATAATTTATTAAATTACTAGAAAAAACCCAACGGAAATTAGACATATATTTTCTAAATTTTAGCCTGGAATTAACAAAAGCAAAAGTCCTTGTTTTTCGAAAGCACGAAACTTGCATTCTAGAATTATACATTTTGAATAATATGGGTAACTACATATTATTGGGGTCAATGGTATGTCGAATATCTAAGTATCGGGGCTATTTTATTCTCAGTGTATCCTCGGCGCCCGGATGACACTGGCAGACACAACCATATTGCTGAATGTACATTCTATATCTTGTTGCTGTTGCTTGTGCAACTCTGTACCCTAGACACACTACTGGGTATATCTCAAATGCAATTGTCTTGGCATATGCATGAAGGTCTTAAGTAATTGAAATCTGCTAAGATTCTTTTCTGGCATTAATTGACCATGTGCCACAGACTTGACAATTTGGCATACTGAAATTTTATATCTAAACTTAAATTAAAACTGAAATACATATATCTGTAGAAGATATTCTTATAAGGAGATATTTTTTTAAAATCGTCAATATATGATATAAAATAAGCATATATTTTAAAGTATATGCAAGTGTATGTATTTAAAAGATCGAATGACAAGAAGATGATCGAAATCTGAAATGCCTGTAAAAATAAAATATTATATTAATTATGTGTACATATAATATAATATATATTTACAAGTGTAATTAAAAAGGGTATTTTCCTCGTCTCAAGCAGTCAACAGAAATTTTTCGCTGACCTGCTGTTTGTTGTCATTAAAGAATTCGACGGCATTGGGCAAACATTTGGAATCAGTTGTTCAGTTGTGTAGTTGTCCCTTCTATTTGGCTGCTGTTGTTTTTATTGAATTTCACATTTGAGAGCACATTTTGCGGCCCGTTGCCCGTTGCCTGCCTGCAGGTTATAGCCAACATTTGTTGTTAATTGCTTATGCCGCACACGTTGCAAGCTTTCATTCTATGTAATTTGCATATGCAACCGAATATTTGCGTGAATTCGTTTGGCCTTCGGGGATTAGGAATCAAACAATGAGTGATGATGCACCACCATCGTATCAATATCGCTTTTTAAATGTCGCATGTGGCTCTGTCTGTGTGTATGTGTGTGGCATATTTTTCATTGGGCAACGGTGCGTATGATTTGATTTCAACAGCAATTTTGGTTCTAAGCGAATTAAGTGACAAGCAGCATGAAATACCAAAAAAAAAAACTGTCGGCAAACAATAGAGTTCATCTGTCTATTATCGTTTTGTTGTTCAACCTGGAATTATGTTTAGGCCGCAGCTCGACTGGGAGATACCCAGCATCAGACATAGTAGTTTATTCAATGTGAACATGCGTTAGGCTTAACCAGATAAATGCATATCTTCTAAACAGTTGATCAATCATTCGTCTCCGTATATTATGTGACAATTGGAAGGAATTGGAATCTTTAGAGTTGTCTTTTGTTATTGGTTATCGATTTGTTTCGACATTAGCGAAACTTGGCCGGTTATCGATCTTATGAAATATATCCGATCTGCGCTGGGTGTACGAAAAACTTATATATCTTAATCGAATTAGTTTTTGATGTAGGTCAAGAATATATATTCTTCATGGAATCGAAATTGCTTTTTTTTTATTTGTTACATACTTTTCGCAGCATGATTATACCCCTTTTCTAATTTTTAACTGATTGAGGGTATAAAAGTGGAAAATGCGCAGCCATCATCTGAACTGAGAATTAAACAGGCTTCCACAAAAGATCTGTTCATTTTCAGTTTCTTTTATTTAGATAGAAATCCCTCTCAAAGAAATGGGGGGCAGTGTTAAATGCGCAAATATTTCTAAGTGAAAAATATAATTTTATAAATTAATAGCTGAATCCAGTCTATCCCTGTTATATATTCTACATCTTAAGTATATATGTAGAACGAAAAGTGCTAACAGAAAGAAATGAAGCTCCTTTTTATTATAATTAATAGAGACATATTAAATGTCTAATTTACAATTGGTTAACTTACAACCAAAGCGAGCATTAAAAAGACTGATCGATTTTCTGCTGCAGCTGCAAAAAATATAGCAATATTTGTACATGATTGAAACTGTGAGTGTTTATTTGCCACTGGGGCCAGTTGCTTATAATTTTCTATTTTTTTTTGTGTGTGTGTGTTATTGTTTTTGCTGTTGCTGCTGCGCCGTCGGGCAGATTGAATTTAGAGACACGCCCCATTCCTGACACTTGCCGGCAGCTGGTTTGCGCCAGGATGTGCAAGGATGTGGCAGCCAAGCAGCTAGCCAGCCAAGGAGCAGCAGCAGCTACTAAATCGTTTATACATTTGTTTTTCTCATTTTTTGTTTTTATTTATGTATGTTTTTTGTTGTATATTTTTTGCCCTTTTCTTGGCGCTGTTTCTTAACTGTTTTCTTATTGAAATTCAATTTGCAAGAGTTTCGTTTCCATTCGTTTTTGCTCGCCTTCCTTTTTTTTGTTTTTTTTTCTTTCTGTTTTTCTTACTGGCCCTGTCAATTTTAATACAATAATGTATACATCACGTATATGCATGTAGCTGGTATATTTTCTTATATTTTAGCCAGATAGATTGAAGCCTTCAAGTCATGGCTCTTGTTATAGTTAACCCTTTCATGCAATTTAAACGATTTGCGGCATAGATTATTTTTGTTTTTACTTTTGCTTTGGCCGTTTGCCGTTGGCCGTTGGCCACACATTTCCTTTTCCTTGAAGACCCTTGGGGTCTTGACCGAGCTGTGATTGCATTGAAATTGAATTTGCGAGTGTTTTTCTTCCTTGTTTTTAATACCCTTACAGAAAGCACGTATTCATTTTAACATCTAATATGTAACACAATGTAAAGCGAGGCACAGTTTTAATATGCAGCTGCTTATTCTAATGGGAGTGGTAACTCATAGAAGGAGACATCGCTACACATTCGATATTCGAACTGTCCACTTATCCAGCTAACTATGCGAATTCTGTCAGTCTAAAGGCGATCCTGATACAACTGGAAACATATTCGCTTCTTTGATAAATGCAGTACATAAGTCGCAGTTATTCAACTCGGCTCATTATATTACATAGTATATATATATATATATATATATATATGATTAGCATCAGCAACCGATTCGATTTTGTCATGTCCGTTTATCTGTCTGTATAAAGAAGCCGATCTCTAAAATTACAAGAGCTGGAGACAAAAAGATTTTCGAGAGGAATAAAAATAAACAAAAAAAGCGACATTATACTTGACAGCTGGCTTCAGGGTATCTCCAAGTCGAGCATTCAAGCTTGTTTTTCTTGCCTTGATTCTTTGTTGGCAGCAGATCAATCTCTTTGGCTAATCTCGACAAGGAAATGATTGCAAAGCCAGAAGGTGGTCAACAGTTGATGCTTTGGAAAGACTCAATTGCATATTTCCGCAGGACATGCATGCCACACACACAGACACACACACAAACACACACTCACATCCACAAATTGAGCCCGCATAGATACTTACATAAGCATTGTCACCTTGCTACGAAATTGTCATTTATCAATTTAGTTGACAGTCGATTTCTTTTCAATTCGAGCCAAAAACCCCCACTTGAATTGACTTTTTGTTGTTCTACTTTCCTTTTTTGTTTGGGAGGGGGGAGGGGGGGGGGGGGTGTGCAACCTGTGCGGCCAAATCAAAAAGCCAAATGACATCAAATGCTGTTTGTGCTGTTCTGCTCCGGTTGTTGTTGTGGCATGTGCAATAAACGACAAATATGATCAAATGGATGGATAGTCACAGGGGCGACAGACCGATAGACACGAAAGGGGAAGACTGAAAGACAGAGGGAGAGAAAGAGAGATAGAGAGAGAGAGAAAGAGGAAGACAGAGGTATGATTGAGTGAAATTACCATATTCAAGTCAAATCACAATCACAATCACAATGCTGTCCACTGTACGCTTTTCAATCAAAATCAGGCAATGCAAGGATTGCTTTCTTTTCTAAAGAGAAATTAAATTTGACTATGGAAATGCTGCTAGGAAGTCTGTTTGTAGAAAAGATAAGTGCTCAGTGCTGTGCTCCACAACATATACGAGTACAGTGAATTTTTGTGAAATCTTAGCTAAAAAGTGTTCGTGGTTTGACATAGTTAAAGTATATATGTTCCTGATCACCGTTATTAAGATCGGATAAGAAACACATATTTTGTTAACCAGAATGTTTTTCATATTAAAAGATTAAACTATTCATATCAAAAAGAATAGTACATATTTAAGAGCTGAGTTCAGGGTATCTTGTAGTCGAACCGTCTCGACTAGAGCACTCTAATTAGTTTCGAAATTGTACATTAGTTCCGATTGAAAATTGTATTTCCTAATTAAAAATTACTATTAATTTAGAAATCAAATCAGAATCATTTTGAATGTTAATATAATCAAATTGTAAATTATCATTTGGTTTTTTTGTCTGGCTACATTTATGCATGTCAGTCAGGATCATTTTTAATTAAATATTTTCCACTCAAGCATATAAAATCCTTAACTAATATTTGCAGTTTTGTTTTATAGTATGCATTTTTGTCTGGATTCATAAAGTTAAGTCTTTTCCAAACAAAACTTTAGATTTGAACTTCTACTTATTTCAGCTTGCAGTTCCAACTTTAATTATTCCGAACAATTTTCTTAATTTATATAGAGCTTCTAGTATTTCTTATCTAATTGATCTCATGGTGATTGGTCATGTAGCAACTGGCAAAGCCTTTATAATTTAGAACATGTCAAAAATGCTAGCCAAAAGTCAACAGCAACAGTTGAAAGGAAGATAAAAAGGAGTTGATCGATGTGGGAAACCAGCGCAACAATTAATTTAGCCTTTGAGAGGTTGATGGATGCCTTGTGATGTGTGTGTGGTACACTGAGTGTAGGTTGTACACTGAGAAAAAAGTCATCAATTTGAGATATATGACATACTTTTGACGGCAAGGGTAATATTCAGAAAATAGATTCCTAAAAACCAGAGATGTTCTAATTTAATTTTAGATATATTTTTCTAAAATATTGCACAAATATATTAAATTTTCAATGTATTTTTTCAAATGTGTACAAAAGAAACTTTAAAAATAGCCTATTTGTTGCTTATAAATAATTTAATTTGAAAAAATCCGGGTTTGCATTTCTACTTTTTAGAAATTCATTTCTTAATAACAGAAAATATTTGTAAAAAGTTAAAGAAAAAAATAATACATTTTTTAGGATTGTAGATTTATATATATATATATATTTTTTATTATAAATTTTGATTTTCTTATATTTATAAATTATGTCGAAAAACATGAAAAACTTTCTAGATTTTTTTTCTGAGTGTTTGTCGCGACTGTTTTTTTATGAATACACTCTCATAGCACTTTGTGTTGTTGTTGTTGTTGTTGTGCATTTTTTCAGGCGCCTGCTACGAACAGAATGGACAGACCTACAAGCTGGGCAACTTCAATACACAGTTGCGCTTCAATCAGAGTGGATCGGCCTATTTGCTGTACGAGGATGGAGCGAACTGTGGAACGGGCGGCCGCCACTGGTCGACAAAAATCGAATTTGTGTGCGCGAACAATGCGACGAAGGACAATGGAACGACAAGCATTGATGCTGTCCAAATAATTGAGGACTCCAATTGTCAGTTGTTAATTCAATATCAGACGCCGTTTGCCTGCCAGCAGCAGATTAAATGCAAAGCCAATGTCTACGTGGAGCACTCAACGGATGGCAGCGGCAGCGGCGGCGACGAACTGGTCGATCTAACTCCCCTGATTAACGCCAATGAGAATTATGAGGCACGGGTCGAGCTGCCGGCCAGCCAGCAGCAACAGCTACCCAAAAACACCAAGGTGAGTGTCGAATGTTGATTTCCCAACGGTCGACTCTAATTTGCACTGTTTCTCTGTCTGTCTATCTGTCTGTCCTTGTCCCTATCCATGTCCCTGTTTCCCCTTTTTTGCCTCTTGCAGTTCTTTCTGAATGTGTGCCGTCCATTAGTGCCAAAATACCAATTAGGCTGCGCCGGCGGTTCAGGTGCTTGCATGGCCAAAATGTCGGCAGCTGGTGCACCCGAGGAGGAGCATGTAAGTAGTCTATCTTTATCCCTCCGTAACACCCCCCGCCTCCTTTCAACCTAATATCCAAAAAGTAGCTTATACGCTTACGCCGACCGTATGTCGCTTGTCTCTGTACTCCTCTGTGTGTGTGTGTTTGATATTCCTTCTAATTGGCGGCAATTCCTGTATCCTTTACACTCAGAGAAAAAGGCTATTGTAAAGTATATAAAGCGGTTAATTCATTAAGTTTTACGTAGATTTGCAAATCGATTATTAATCTTACATCAGTCAAAACAAAAATGCTTGCATCATGCATAAAATTCGTTTTACAACGTTACGCAAAAACAAATCAGTCTGCTAAGAATGAATTAATTTTCTCGCCTCAATGGCGTTCATAACTTTTTTCACTTGCACACTTTTCACACTTTTTTCTTCAAGATTAAAATCATTTTTCATTCATAATTTACTATTCCATTTCGATGTCGCTTCTGTGGTGGTTTGCCAATAACTGCCGTGGAAATATATCAAGTTTCATTATTCATTCATTTCGTCGAACAGCTGTTCACAGAATCCACACAAGTCGACAGTGAGTCAAGATTGTAGATATATTTAGTTTGATACCAGTTTTTTTATATTGGAATTGTATGTAAACTATGATTTACCTAAATAAGTTAGTGTGTGCTAGTCGCCTAGGGAATACCTCGAATCCAATTAAATGCAGCTTGCTGAAATTAGTTTGTCAAATGTGAAAAAATGTTTTCATTAATCAAATCTGTGTTTTTTTCAATCATAAGGAAATATGCACAGTTGATCAACAATATTTTAGATTATATGATAATTGCAAAGCTATTGCAAGATAATTGTGTACTTTATTGCTATCGGTTATCGATTTCTATCGATATATTTGAAGTCTTCAGTTCATATTGTCTCTGAGTTCGGTTTGTTAATAGACACAGACAGACGGACATGACTAAGTCAACTCGACTATTGATGCTGATCAAGAAAATATATATACCTTCTTTATTAACCCTTTGTTCCATTTTAATTGGGTTCAGGTCTTAAGAAAAAATCCTTTCGTTCACTGGTCCAACTTCCGCCTTTGCCTATGTACTTGATTTGAGTGTAAAGTGTTTTATATTTGTTTTTCCGAGTGCAATTGAATAATTTTTGTGAACCGTGGGTAAACGCTTCAATTTGGTCATCAAGCCATTTTGGCTAAATGCCAAAAAAAAAGACAAAATTCTGTGACGCCAATTCATGCATTAAATATGCAGCAAATCCAACTGCTAAGCTCCACTGCTCGCTAGCTGCTCTTTGCTCGGCACACCACTTGTGAGTGACCAGTGGATTTGGTTACTTCATTAAGCGTAACTCACTCCCTTTCCACACCCCATATCCACATCGCTGTCATGCCCCCTCGTCTGTCGTTGACAGTTGAAGAGTCGACACGGAGGCCAGTGTCTAAAAGTTGCCTAATGCCACAAATTGTGTGCCCTTCTTTTCACATTTATCCACAGTATGTATCTATGTGTGTGTGTCGTGCTGCGTTGGCCTGCGCTTAACTAAGTACTTAAGCCCACAAAAGTATGCTATGAAATTCGCTTGAAATGAGATTTTCAGATCATGCTACAAATTGGTCCACTAACATTCGTTGGGCTTTCTCTTCTAATCTCCCATCTGTGTACATTGATGGCGATAATTGTGAATGCTCAAATTTTCTTATCTAAAAATAAATATTCAAGATTTACACTTTACTAAATTCAGTTAAAAGCAAGTTGATTCGTAACAAAAAAAATTAAATTTTAAAAAAGAGATTTATGGAAGTGGGAAACCATTCTCGTCAAGATTAGGTTGGTGGTAAACATTTCTGGTAGTTGGGCAACTATGCAAGAGAATGATATCAAATATCACATTCTGGGACCCAACAAGTGGATCCGATTATTGTTTTTAGTTAAAAAAAAAGAAAATAAATAAATTTGGAAGCTGAAAAATCTATTTTTCTTAATATGCTTTTAATAGAATTTCTTGCTTTATTTTAAATGGCATACAATAATAATAATATAGTCAACTGAGGTATAGCAAACAACACTGTTATAAATTATATTTTAAATTTTTTAAGGGAAAAGTTTCTATGCCTTCTATTGAATTTCGCAGAGTGTATTTTATATTTGTTTTAGCTAATTTGTTCTCGTAACTTGTATTTTTTATTGCATACTAAAAATCGCTTTCTTTGGTATTTTATACTTAATTCTTGATGTCAATTCAACTTTATATTTTATGTGTATTTGGGTCAGAAGTTTTAAGCTTAACTTAATTTAAAGGTCAGCTCTCGATTAAAATGTTTCCGTTCTTTTGTGTGTGTTCTTGTGCAATAATTATATAAATTATAAAGCCGCTGTCTCGGGCGCTAACCAATCATTGCCTGAATGCGTGCACCGTATGCCACAGGCAGTGCCCCTAATCCCCGTCAGTTCCCCGAGCTGTGCTGCCCTGCCCACCCCCAAGGCCCATCTGGCCATGGGCAACATAACTTTTATCAGATGCCGGCAGCAACAACAATGTTAAAGTTGTTAAAAAAAAATAATAATAATAGGAGGCACGTACGCAGCTGAAAATGACGGGGCAGCGACTGGTTGACGAAGGGTGGAGGGGGAGCAGAGGGTACGTGTGGGTGGGTGGTGCAGAGCTTGCGATATGCGAGGGAAATATTTGTGAACGTAAGGCCAGTAAATGTAACGCAACGCGACGCAACGCGACAGAACGGAACGGAACGGAACGGAAGGATATGGCAAAATGCGGCTATGGCGTTGACGATGGCGTAAAAATATAGCCACACACACGCATATATATATATATATATATATATATATATATATATATATATATATATGTATATGTATATGTGCATATATGCATATATAACTGTAAAAACAGCTTTTAGCGGCCAACAGCCATCAGTGGTTGCCCCACTGAAATCCAAATGGGGAGTTAGCCATATGTGTGAGTGTGTGTGTGTGTGTGTGTCTGTGTGTATGCTACGTGCTGTGCTGAACATTTCCGGCTTGTGGTGTGGCAAGGAAAAAAAGGGGTGGTGGTTGAGGAAAGGGGTACACTCAGGCAAAAAATTGAACTGAATTTTCGAAATTTGTGCAACTTTTGGTGCCACAGGTAACTCATCTTATTATTCTAGCAATAAAAGTTGTGGCTTTCCAAAAATCTGGTTTATATTTTTCTTAATTTCAGCGTACACTTTTCTAACATTTTGAAATAATATGTTTAATTATCACGGTGTTTTTGTCACAAATGTGATAGCAACTCTAACATTGGGTTGCTTATATTATTAATAAGCGTTAGTATTTTAAGATTTCACATTTGCAAACATTTTAGATTGTTTATTAATTATTTTTTGAGTCTGAGCCGAGCTAATAAATTTAATTATTTGTTTCTGCATTTTGAAAAGGGTTATAGAAAATACTAATTGAAAATAGTTCTAAAAAAATACCATTTTTTTCGAATTGTAGATTTTAGAGTTGTAGCCTAATCATTTTTAGAAATTGTTGTTTTCCTACGTTTTGTAATTATTTCGAAAACAAGGTAGACTTTCTATTTTGCAGGGCGTTTGTCTGAGTGTAGAGGGGTTGCGTATGGTTGCAGATTCTGTTGTCGACTGGGGCAAAGTGCCGTTGGCTTTTGTTTGCATGCCACTGGCCTAGAAATAAACGTAGCCATGGTTACATATTTCTCTAAAAATTTATATTGCTTTATTTGCACACACATTCGCACACACACACACACCCAGAGATTTCTGGCTCTTGGCTCCTGCTGCTGCTGTTGACATTTGCGCCACGTTTTGCATTTTCGAAAATGTTCCGTTTTCAGCGGCATTTCGTGTGCGGAAACGGAAATGTGCTGCTAGCTGCTAACGCGCACTTGAGCGCTGCACCAACTCTTTACTTAGCGGCAGCGCAGTCCTCCTCTAACTTCCCACAACCACCCGCTGTTTCTCTATCACGCTCATTGACAGTTGTCGAAATGTCGTTTTAGCTGATATTTCTTTGAATTTGCACTTCGGCATTTGCAGATATATATATATATATATATATATATATATATATATATATTTATATTTTAATGTGCGCTGCCCGCACATCCTTGAGAAGTCATTGACTTGTCACATGCTTGATTCTTGCTTGCAACTTGCATCTCATTGTCATGCAGCATATTTCGCGTACGTTGCAAATCTGACTTGGAGCTTGTCAATGCGAAAATGTCGCTTGTCGCAATTTTATCGCAAATGGCCTTAAGCGTCTCAATACCATTCTTGCCTTAATTTATTCGACATTGTTGTGCAGAAAATATGCTGTCTCTTCTTTGTTAATCAACACAAAAACTCAAAAAAGTATATTTATTTAAATTTTATACTCAAATATTTGTTTGAAAATGCGGCCAATGATTTACAATTGCTTCAAAAACTTAATTAACTGAGATACACCCTAAAAATTTTCAATCAATCCTGCTATTAGCTTCAATATCTTAGGACCACTTCCTCAAAATAAATGATGAACTTGAACTTGAACGGTCCACTTTAAACTCTAGATTGATAAATGCAAATTTTTGGAATATTCTAGATCAAATTGTACTTGTAATTTAAAGAACAAAACGTTTGTAATTCTAATCCAATTCACTGTTTTCTCTGAGTGTACACGGCAAATTATGCTGCTGCCAACACACACACACACACACACAGAGCCAATGATTCTGATGGGGCGTCTATTCGGCTAGCCTTGGACATGGTCTGCGTGTCGCCACAGGACATTTGATGCTCCTGTTTCCCATGTCCTGTGTGTGCCGAGTTCGGTTCGCACACAGCTCTCGAAAAAAAAAAACACCATTCGCTGAACTTGCACAAATCTTTATTGCTTTTGAACTAAGGCTTTCGCTTTGGGGTTTTGTTTCTATCTTCTTTTCAAAACCAAGGAAGTTTGAATTTCAGCAAATACACAGCGGGCCACTTTAATTTATACATTGCCCTGACATATATTATATACTTAGCTGGTACATCGCATGATGAATAGTTGAACTATTGAAAGTCAAACTAGTTTGCATAAAACAAGACAATGTTAAGGATTTGACTTTGCCGGTCTGCCTGATTAAGTATCCATTTACGTTTCACACTTCACGACAAATTAAAATAATTTCTTAAGATCTGCAGCATTTACAAAATATATGTGAAACTAGAGAAAGTGCAACTGGATATATATAAATAAATATACATATATATATATATATAATAAAAGACTTACTGATATTAGTTTTTTCAATATGGAATTTTGTTTCGATCTTAAAGAAATTGTACAGTTGATCAATAATATATCCATTAAAAGGCAATATTTTTAAAATTGTGTCTTCTTTTGCAATGTGAAATGAATTTATATCGATATTCGGAACATGGTGTGAGTTATCGATAAAATGAAATACATTTTATTTGAGTATGGTATTTGAGAACTTCTTTGAAAATTTTACCATCACCAGCTCTTTTAGCATCTGATGCTGTTCAAGAATATGCCATCTGCCTCTATTATACCTCTTTGAATAATTTTCAATATGATCAGGGTATAAAATTTTAATAGGCTTAATGTTTAATGTTCCTATAAGTGTAATAAGTATTTGCAGGCCGCATGAGATGAGAGCAAGTTTTAAGTTTTAAGAAGTATTCTATTTTATTTAGAAGCAAAGCTGCAAACAACGAAAGTAACTATTCCGAAATATATATTTTGGAAGCGATCTATTTAGTGGCACCAAACGGGAACAACAGAATGAATAAAATGTATTCCTGATTCAAGTAAAACTTAAATCAAATATGAACAGCGCGTGAAAAGTATTTATGAAAAGCCTTAAATCAAGTCATCTTCATTACCATTTTTAAGAGCACGTTTTTGATTTGAGACTGTTGATCTTTATTTGAGATTTAAATTTGTAGTTTGAATTAATTATTACTTTAAAATCAATTACTTGCCACCAGCTATCTGACTAATAAATATGAACTTAATTACGAATAAAATAGGGTTAAAATGAACTCGTTTCGTATGCAAATTTGTGTGAAGTTCCCAAGTAAAAATATCTATGATGTCTGATTTTTAATCTGTACGGGTATTACTTATTATCCAGTCACGCACGGGTCTAATGTCATGGAAGAATAATAGCGACCTTTCATCATTCTCGTAGAATTTCAACAGTATACCGATCAAGTAAAAGTTACGCGGCACATCCTTCTCCACATTGATGCCCATCAGGGCGGCGCCATTATAGAAATGGGTTTGTTTGTCTGGATAGGTACAGAATTGATGGGCCGATGGTAGAGCGGACAGCTTGCCTATCACCTTACAGTATGCATTCGATAAGGTTTCCGTCAGACCCTTGCCCTTTATATAGTCACTGTTATCGAAGCCACTATAATGATAAATGCGACTGATCAACGACTCCGGCTCGGAGTTCGGATTCACACACAACGGCTGAATGTACTGTGTCCAATTAATGCGCTCCTTCAGCTCCAGTATGGCCAAATCGTAATCTCCGGTTTTTGCATCGGCCTGTGGGTGTACTAGGATTCCCTTTACTTGATAGTCCACGGGTCTCGACACACAATACCCATCCAAATCGCATACGACTTCGTTGCCTGGCTTATGCCTCTCATCCCACATGCCCAGTCGTACCGTTAGCGACTCCGGACGCTTCTCTCGCACACAGGAGCCGGTTGCCAGGACGTGTGACTCGCTCACAATGATCACGCTACAGTTTGTGTTCGTCAGGGAAGAGTCTGCACAGAACACACTAGTTTATTCAAGAGAGTCATTCAGAGGATAAGTTTGCGAACTCACCTTCCAATTCATATAGTACACCCATCCAGGTATATTCGGTGGGCTTCGCTTCCGTGTCAGTGCTGTAGAGCAGATACTCTTGAAAACTGCCGCACTTTGTCGTCGCCGATGCGTTTGTATTGACTGCGCAAAAAAAAGAAACAATTTGTTGACGTTCTCATATTGAATATGGAAAATATAATTTACCGCTTAGCATGGTGCTCAGTAGCAGCAAAACTAGTTTGCCTTTAGTATTCATTTCGTCTCGATTTGCTTATCCGCAGTCACTTCACGTCCAACTCAGTGTTCGGATCGAACTGAAAACAGCTTAGAAAAACACATCTCAGATTACCTCGGCCAACACTTGTTTCCAATTAAAAATGCATCTAATAAATCAAGCATGCAAAATAAGTTAGTTAAACTTATGAATAAGCGATTTTTTGTTGTTTCGGAACGATCTACATTGCATCTATAAAGAAATATAGATTTCACAATAGAACCGGTTTCAATTCTCGATTATTTATTCTTCAAATCATTGCAAAAATGTTCACATTGTACTGCTCTTCAATGCATTTTGCATTTTAATAAATATTATCCGCTGCGAGGTTTTCAAAGTCAGCTTTTGAATACATAGTTGACTTACTGATTGTACTTTATTCAATATGAAGACTCATTTGGTTAACGAAATCTGCGTTTCCTACTCGATTTTACTATAATCTTAAAAGTTGATCAGTGTCAGGCTGTATTAAATATCAATTGGAGTTCTATGAATTTAGAATTGGTTTTTTTATTGCTGTTGGAATTCGACTTGTATCGATTATCTGGGATTATCCCAGTTATTGATCAAATGAAATAAAATTGATCAGCGAATAGCATACGATAACTTATATTCCATATTTTTGTAATCTATGAGGTCGATTTGATCATACAGCTGTTGATGCTGCTCAAGAATATATATACACTTCCTTCTGCTTGTTGCATACTCCTACACAAGTTCATTCAAAACATATATTCTCTGCATAATTCTCCGCATTTTTTATATTTGATTTCGAATCCGAGTTGCTTATCAATATTTTATATATACTCTAATTCGTTCAGTGTTCTGATTATTGATTTCGAGTTGTACTCAATTTTGCATAAAATTATTACTTACATAGTATTTTTAATTTCAGTACAGTGCTTTCAATTAGAGATAAACGTGCCTCAAACTTTTCGTTTCTTTTTTGTGCTCAATAGAAATAAGTCTTGGCATTGTATTTTTATTTTATTGATACTTTTTTTGCCATTTCTTGTCCAACTTATTTATTTGGTATTTGCAAACAATTAAGCTGGCTATTTATTTTTTTAGTTTTTCACCCGTCCGGTCAATGCTTTTTAACTTTGTGTTTTTGGTTGTGCTTTACTCTCTCTCTCTCTCTCCCTCTCACTCTCTATTTGTGAGCGAAAAGTTCACGAGACTTGAAGCAAAATATAAGCAAGCGGCCAGGACACATGGACAAACAGGAGTCGTCCGTTCGAGTGGCTGACTTGTACCAATGCGATAAGAAAGTTTTTCAATAAATTCTTTTTTGAAGAACAGCAGCTCACTCAAAACTTGCCGTCTAGCAAGCTAAGCTGATAAGCTGGCGCCAGCTTTACTTTACTTTCATATATATATATATATATATATATATATATAGATGTAGATGTAGATATATGTTTAAAGTCGAACTATATAGCCGCAGCTATATCCATAGCTAATGAGGGTTGCCTGTTGAAGAACATTTTTAGATGCTGCTGCCAGCTGCTTGTTTGCTGATGCCGCATTAGCTCAGATTTTGAGTTTTCAATGGATTTCCAATGGCACAAGAAAAAAAAAGAAGAAGCGAATAGGAAAACTGGCAGCTAGCGTAACGGTTAGCAATAAATAAGAGAGCAAACTGCGCAAACCGTGCCTGAGCTGCATACAAAATGAGTTTGTCTGCCCCGCTCATCTGGTCCATCTTGCCGTCCGCTTGTCCTCCTGCCTCGCCAGTGGCTAATACGTTTAAGATGATACGACAACATGTGCAACGTTTGCCACCATTCGACATCGCACTGACCCCGGTGCATAAATCTCCAGCCACTCGAGCGCCATTCTTGCTGCTCCGTGCAACTGCAACTGCTCCACTTTGAAGCATTAAGCTCACGTCCACAGTTGAATGTCCGCCCCAACTGACTATAGACTACACACAGAAAAAAAAGAAAAAACAAACACAAATATAGTAACAAAATGTCTCTTAAAAAATAATACAAATATTTCTGTATCATCTCCTTGCAAAAATATTTTCCAAATCAACTCAATTTATTCGATGCCACAGAGAAAGTTGTGTTAAATCTCCAATAAATACTAATTTTTTTCTTAACCAACATAAAGATATCAACTGAAAATAGTGTTTTACATTTTTGGTAGGATTCTCGTAGAGTTAGCCATTAAGGTTAAGTGTCCATCCTGTAGCTCATTTTTCAAACTATTCCTTTTTTTGTTAAGACTCTCCGACTCCATAAAGAAATATTTTTTTATCAGCATCAAAAGTCGATGCGATGCAGCCAAATACGTCTGTTTAACGATTTCAGATAATTCAAATTTTGAAAGTTCTCGTAAACGCAGATCAATTTTAGTTATTTTCATAATAATTGCGAATATCGATAAAAATCGCCTTCCGATAGCAATAAAATACTCAACTGCAAGAATCTAAATATATAGATGATCTATCTAAATCTGTCTTATATTTAACAGCTGTGTTCAGGATAACATTTAGCCGTCATCTCTCGCCTAGAGTATTCTGTCTTGCTTAAAATATTTTGTTATGTTTTTTTTTTGAGTGTAGCTGCCTTACTGTCCGGTCTACTATTCCTTCTCTGGTTGTCCTGCTGCTGACAATGTTTAAGCTGCCTGATTGCCAACAACAATAGGCAACAGGACGAACAGGATGAGTAGGAGGAGGGGCAGGAGCACCAGTTGGCAGTTGTCAGTTGGCGCGTGCTGCATGCATCCGTTCCGTTAGTGGGTGTTGGTGGGTGGTGCATGTGGCACAGTGGCTGTTGCAATTGAAGCGGCATTGAACAGGCGACAAAAAGGTCGATTATCGAGCAATTTGCAAAGCTAATGCTTGCCAAGCACATTGCAAGCACATCCTAACTCTCTCAGTTTTTGAGCTGCTTCTCGAGAGTTTGTTGTTGTTGTTGTTGTTGCACCACAAACTATTGACTTGCAACTCGTTGAATATTTTAGTTATAGCTGAGTGGACTTGTGTTTGATTTGTAATTGATATTTGCACAGTAATATTCGGAAATTGAATTGTCTAAAAGGTCGAAAAGTGCAGAAATGAATCGAGTTCTGTTTGACGTCTTAATACTTTCGGATATAGATTTTTATAAAAATCTAAATGTTTTACTGAAAATGGAATTTTTACAAATTATGTGTAATTTTCAATCACCCATCGTATTTTATGAACAGTAAACAATTTCTCAATTCGTTAATGAAATTTAATTCGATCTTTGTTATATAATTATAAATTGTGTTTCTTTGTGAGCGACCACTGTAGCTGCTGATATTGCAAGCTAAACTAATATAATTTATATTCGATTTGTAAAAAGCATCTCTGTACTTAACTTTGATTGATCTCCTCGCATCGATTAAGGAGCTAATAGACACACACATTAGCTGAACTACATTTCTTTTGTCGGCTGCTCGTCGAAATCATGAAAATGCCATCCATTAAATTGTCGCTTTTTTTTTGTGTTCTATTTATTTATTTGTTTTTTTTTTTTTGCTGTGCATTGACTGCGACTTTCTGTCCGGGTTTTACTTCTGGGCATTTGTCCATCCATTCGGTTGCGACGCTTATCGTTTTCATTTCGCCCATCGACCTACTCATCGATATGCGAGGCCACTCAAACGCATGTCCAGTGGGGCAACAGCAACAACAAGTGGAATGACCGAGGAGAAGTGCGACAAACGTAAACGTGCCTCTGATAGAGATTTCGAGTTATTTGCAGCAATCTCAGTCATAAAGTTGGACATGTGTTTGCCCAAGGATACACTACAGCTGCCCCTTACCCTTCTTTTCATTTCTCTTCTCATATCTTTCTTTTTTTTATACCCTGTTGCTATTGAAGTTGGTTGGCAAAAGGGGTAACATAAAATGCTAAAAATGAAGATCTAGTAGACATATCTGATAACAACAGTCGAGTCGAAATTTTGTATACAAATTAATTTTATGTTTTCAATTTTATGACAATCAAAAGAGTAATTAAAAGAGAATCAGAAGCGCAATGAAATCTCACTATCAAATCGAGTCTTAAAAATTGTAATTCAAAAAGCATAAAAGTTACATATTATTTGTAACTTAATTTAATTTTACTTATTGACTTGTTTCGACTGATATTAGGCGCCATTAAGTATATAAATAAATATATAAAATCTACAATTGTTTCATCATAACTCTGTGCATAAGTGTATACAAGTGTATGTGTGTGTGTGAGGTACAGGGTATCTGCCAGTCGAGCACGCACACTCACACTTGGTTTGCTGCCAGTTCTTGCTCTTGCTCGTTTTATCTGTTGCACCTTTTCACAGAGCCTCGGTTTCCCGCGGGTTAAGCTATCGCCCATCAACCGCACAGCCGCTGAGCTGCTCTACGTAAAGGGCGATCCCTGTCCGACAGACAAGGCCATGAATCTATCGACACGCATTCACTTTAGCTGCAACATGCGCTCTGGTCGTGTAAGTACAGGCTATACTTGTGGCTCGTCTTGTTGGCTTTGGGTCTTCTTTAGCAGCTGCTTTACGATTGTGTGTGTTTGCCTTAAATGCAGGGCCAACCGGTGTTGAGTTCCATTGATGATTGCCACTATCGCTTCGATTGGGAGACTAGTGTCATTTGTCCGCCGCACGAGTGCAACTTCAGAGCGGACACTTGTGAGATTGAGTTTGTGCAGGATGAGCCGAATATGCGCTACAACTTCCGGACTAACGCATCCTTCACCAATTCCGGCAAAATTGAGGTGAGTTCACATTATTGCTTAGAAAACTGGATCAGCCGGCACTGCGCTAAATCCATTTTTGTTTTTCATTTTACAGGTCGACTATAAGAATACGAAAATCGAATTGAATATTTGTGGATTGTATCGCAAGGTTGTCACCGATTTTTCGCAGGACGTGGTCAATTTGTTCTTCACACACGACCTGCCGGGCTGCGGCAAAGAGGGTGAGTCTGTGTGCGAGTGTGTGTGCGAGTGTGTGTGTGCGAGTGTGTGTTGACGAATTCGATTAGCGTTTAAGTTGTGCACTGCTTGCACGTCTTCTTCTTATTTCAAAGTAGCTGCTTGTCGTTTCCTTTTCCGCATCCGCTGCCGTTTCCGCTTGCACTTCCGCTGGCGCAACACGCGCATTTCCGGCCCGCCATTTTTTTTTCTCTTTTTATTTTGCTGTTTTGATAATGACAAAATCGCATTACAATTGGCGCACAGCCCAATGCACTTCCTTTTCGCTTATCTGCCAACCCCGAGCAACCCATAACCTCATCTAATACACACACACACACACACACACACACACACACACACAAACATACACATTTGAAAAACCTCATGACAAGTTTTTTCTTTTTTTGGCTGCCTGTTTTTAGGCGCCTTTGCAGTCGAGACCGTTTCGCGCTGCGTTTTTTCATTCACTTTTTCCCTTCGTCGCTTATCTGAGAGTCTTTTATGTCGTGCCCGCTGACAAAAAACGCAGAGCACTTGAAATTATCAAAATAAGCAGGCGTACAAAGAAAGCAGCTTTAACGAGAGCAAAAACCAAAACACACAAAAATATAATTGTCGAGCAGATAAAGACGTCAAATAATCGGGCTGCAAATGCGAGCGCTTCTAATACCTAATACCCTCCAAAAATAATGTTAATGTAAGATTAAAAGATGAAAAGATGAAATAATACCTTATAGTCTAAATAAAATGCAGTGCAAGGAAGCGGATGAATGAGGTATATATCTGTATAATAGCACCATTATCAAATCAGATCTGCAAAACTAACTTCTGGATTGGAAAAAGCCATCGTGTTTATATAAAGCGATTAGAGAATTTAAAAAAGATTTACCTTTAAGAATATTATGATGTTGCCTTATGCAGATAATAGCATATACAACAATATTATGATGTTGCCTTATGCAGATAATAGCATATACAACAGCCATTGACAATGAGGACAAAAGCGTTGTATTTTTATAAATATTTTTTTATTATTTTGCATTAGTTTTTTAAATACGGTGCAAACTCTTTTTACATAGTGAGTTATATTATATGCAAGCTAATGCTGAGAAGCTTCTTACAAAGATAGATTATTAACACAATTATGATTATATTTCATTGGCATTCAAAAGTTTGTCTTACATGTATTCATAAGTCACACTTTCTTATGCCCAGCTGATTCCAGGCTATTTGGCAGTCAGGTTTTATATAATTTCTACACTCGCTTTATTTTTCATTTTAAGCCCCTATGTTTTTTAAGCTGCGACCGTTGCTTGCTGCATTCGAGCCATGAATATTTAAAAGCTCGCAAACACAAAAAGAGACACACAAAACAGCTGGCGACTTTTGTGGTGTGTTGTTTTTCGTGCATGGCAATGATTTTTATTGGCACCATCAGCCGCTTGGTGTGGTGACACTAAAAAACAAAAACAGAAAGACAGACGAAAAAACTTTGCCATTAAATAGAACTTTGTGTTTATATGGTAACGGGCAATAAAACTGTCAATTTAATTATGACAACGTTCCCGCATTCCAAAAGCTCTAAAAGCAACAAAAACACAATGAAAATACAACCAAGTATTATAAAATCTAAATTTTTTTTGTTGTGCGTGCTAAATTATGCGTGTTTGTGTTTGTTATAGGGTGTTGGATGTGTGTCTGTGTGTGTGCGTGGTTGCAATCTGAAAGCGATCAGACAATTCTAATATGCTTACTGACATGCACAACCAAACTGCTAAAGGGTTACGCAGCGGAACAAGTGGGGCCTGGGACTAGATTGGAGGGTGTAGATTGTGTGTGTGTCTGTGTGTGTGTGTGTGTATGTGTGTGTGTGTGTATGTGTGTGTGTGGTGTGCTGGTTGTTTGACTGTGCGGCTGAGGCAAAAATCCCACAACAGTTGCTAATACAGCTCCCTCGTTTCCCCAGAGAGCATTGTGGGCTAAACTGAGTTTATTTTTTTGCCAACAAAAAATAATTTATATACTCTTACGAAAGTTTGTTAACCTGTTCAGTTTTGAACTTGATAATGCTTAGAGTTATGCGTCTATTTGCTGACTGTTTTCAATTATTTATTTTCACTAAATATCACCAATATTTTAATTGTGGTTATTTTTATTGGTCAGCTCTGAAAAGATTATCTTTGAGTTATCACAAAAATTGATAAAACTTTGATTTTGTCTATTTGTCTATTTCAATAAATTATTTCCACTAAATACCATCAGATTTAACTACTTTTGTACAACATTTTACAATAGCAGAAACACTGAAAGTCTTCGTTGAGTTGTCACAAAAAAATGTTGTTTATTTTTGCACAGTGCAGCGTTGCCTTAAATGCTGGTGTGCTGATTTTGTCTGACAAACACACACACCCTCACACACACACACACACTCATGCATATATTGCGCATTTGAACGACGGCCGCAACCACAAAAGGGAACCACCATCAACCCCCTGGCCCACCCTGCGCTCAGCCCGCTTACCTCCCTTGCCACTCATATCATGCGGCTTTTGTTGTCGTCTCCAGTGATAATTATTTTTGGCTTTTATGTGATAACTTTGCAGCATGTCAGACAGAGGGACCGACAGAGGCCCCAACCCGTAGTTTTGGCCAGACTTTCGCAATATGATAAGGATTCATTTAAGCCCGCTTTGTTGTTGTTGAACTTGTAGCCCCAGTTGTGTGTGTGTTGTGTTGCGTTGTTTCTCGGTCAATTAAAATAAAATGCCGATTTGTTTTAGTATGGGTTCTAGTCTGGTTTTCATCACTTTTTATTAGGGTCAAGTTTGTTGTGTTTTTGTTTTTCCTTTTTTTTTTGGGTTGGGTTTTTTGGTTAAGAGGCTCCATTTGAGCTAATTAAAATTCTAATATCTGTTCTATTCACTCACTTTATTGCAGGCAAGATGAATGTTCAGATGCGTTTGATATGCAGCAACAAAACTGAGAGTTCCAGCAGCATTACAGATGTGAGTACAACCATTTTTAACTATATACACTAAGAAAGTAGACTATGTAGCTTATTTAATGTTTACCACGAATACATGTTGTCCTTGCGTGAGTTTTGCAAAATCTTAAGTGTTTTTATTCAGATAGGAACACATTCGATATATTCTCTAGTTTTAATCTGCGTTTAAATTAGGATTTGGCATTTTCTTTGACTTTCGTTTTGACAAAATTTATAAATCAGGCTTGTAAAGGTTATAGTAATGAATGAAATCATTTTATTCTAGACTTGTTAACTTTTCGCTAAGAAGAAAATCATGAAAAATCTCAATTAAAATTCTATTGAAATTGTTATTTAATTCTTGGCTATTAAATTTGTTTTGTTTTTTTTTTCCACTTGAAACAAGCTTACATCGAAATATCCAGATGAATTCCTTCGAAATGTAAAAAGAAAGTTGTACATGAAAGGCGTAAAAAACTACTTTGTAAAAAGTGTAGCATATCTTTGAGCGCTTGTAGAAAAGCACAACATTAAATTGACCTGGCAGACGCAGTAAGGCGACAAGCCCAAAGTGGATTTGACAGACACACACACATACACACACACACAGACATTTTTGCAGCCCTCTGCATGTGCTGGCTGCGGCAGCAAGTTTCTTATGTAAAGTCTGGCCAAAGGAACCCTCGTCGCGGGCTGCTTCAAAGTAAAAATGTATAAGAAATATGCAGAAAAGGACGCAGAACAGAAGTGAACAGACCAGAGCAAAAAGGGAGCGTGGCAACAACTGGGCGCAAAACAATGTGGCAGGTGTCCTTTGTTATGCTTACCACTTGGCAAATCCCCTTTGCCAGCCATTTGTTGTTGCTGCTGTTGCTGCTGCTTTCAGCAAAAATGTTGCCTGCCGACCTGTGCGGCTTTTGGTTTGCTTCTTCTTTCTTAGGCATGGTGGCTGTTCTTGTTGCTGTTTCTGTTTTTGTTGTTGGTATTGTTGTTGTTGTTGTTGTTGTTCCCGTCGCTTTTGGCCGGCGGGCGTGCTATTGTTTTGGTCCAATGCCTTTGTTGTCTTCAACAATTGCAACAGCTAACAAGAAGGGACAAACAACTTAAACACGCCGATATTTAAATACTCTTGCAGCACAGAGTTCAACAGCGAAAAAAAAAAAACGAAACAACAACTGACATATTCTGGCAAACAAACTACTTTTTCATACAAGCATTTATTTTTAACGCAATGGTTTTTTGGAGAAAAAATATGGCCGTGAATCTTACAAATTTGTCATACTCTTTGCGCCCTTGGTAAACATATTTCTGTTCAGGAGGAGAAGAAGTTAATGTCTTTCTATAAACCAGGCTTTTCTTGTCTTAATGCCAGTGTACAGCTTTCTACAATATAGAAAAAAATACAATTAATTTCTAAGATGCTTATAATAACAAACAGGCGACTCTAATAAAGCAGTCGACCAAGGACATTTTATTACATTTTTCTGAATATTACAAAGCTTTTTAAAAACAAATGTCTTTATTTCTACTTTTAAATATATTTCTTTATAATATTTATGGAATACAAGACCTATCTAGAACATATTAGGAACAAATGTCTTTCAAATTTTAAGAAATTGTTCTCTCGTATTTTTAGCATTAATTTCTGAAAACCAAATCCTCTTTCCAATTTTGAGGGCGATTTTCACAGAAGAGCAATTTTTTTTTTTTGGCTTTCACTAAATGCATTTATAAAAAATGGAAAAGAATAATGACTAATTTTAAGAAGTTGATTTATAACTTATTTTTAAGAACCAGAAGATCTATGTATTTTTCAGGGTGATTTGCCATTTATATAAATTTTCTAAAATCAGATTTCGCTTTATGTATTTGACTGTTACAAAAAACGTCTGTTTAAATCAATTTAAATCAAATAAACTTTAAAACTAACTCGGCTCGCATTTGGGGTAAATAGATACATATACAACTTGGCTTGTGGTGCTGATGAGGAATATTTATACATCATAAGCATAGAGAACTCGGCTGACACAAATTCTAATAACATTTTGGAAGTGTATGAAAAATGTACGTGCCTTGCTTGTTACAGCAATAACATGTTGTTGCTTGTTGTTGTTGTTGCCCCTTTTCTTGGGGGGTTGTGGCCTTTTACCTTAGATCCCAGATACACGCGGTTTTCAGCTCTTACCTTTCTCTATCTCTTGGCTATTGTTGACTGTCGCAAACTGACGCTGACCCTTCCCCATTATCAACGGCAACATCAGCATCTGCTGTTCTGTGCTCTACTCTACTTTGCTTCTTGCTTATCAAATAGTTGTCATTGTCCTGGCTGCAGGAGTTGCATTAGTTACTTACACCCAGCACAAAGCAGGGTTCTATAAAATTCAATTCTGCTGCGCATATCTTAATTAAACTTATCCTCGCTAGCAGCATTTTCTTCCCAAAAAATGTTTCTTTTTGCTTAGTAATTAGGCTTTCATTCGTAGCTAACATTTTTGTCAGTCTTTTGTGCAACCAAAACCATTTATTTTGGTGCAAAGAGTGAGTCAAACAATTGTGAACAGCTTTATCGATAAGAAAAAACTATTTATTTAAACTAATCGTGCATATTACATTTTTAAAATGTAGCTATTTAATTGCCAAATATTTTGTGTATGGACAAATGAATGCTCAACAAAAATCTGCCTGATAATTAGGAAATTTGCCAGTCGCCAAATGTGTGATTTTCAAATATTTATTGAACAAAATTCGCAACTGCCTTCAGTATATTGAGCAGGTAGATATTTAGTGTAGAAGACAAAATGCTCATCAATTTAATATTTTTCAATGTCATGGAGCGTGAATTGCCCCCGAAATTGAAATGTGAAGTTGAGCTTGAAATCTGCAACGATGTTGATGCAACACTTTTGTGTGTGTTATGTTTGCAAACCAATCTCTTAATTGATTTTGCGTTCTGTTTACATTACCTAGCTGCAAATAGATTGATAGATATATATGACAGACACACAGACACAAAGAAAGATAGACACGAGAGAACCGCATGCTGCAACAGCAAAATTGTCAATTTGCAGCACGTTGTAATTAGTGGTCTGACCAACTGGCTGGCTGGCTGGCAACTTTATTAGCCAGGTCCCAAAATGCAGCAATTAGTGTCTGAGGTTTAACAAAACACACTCGCACACACACACACACACACACGCTCACACAAATTGCTAAAAGGAGTCGCCGACAGCGATTGAAAATATTTGCCTGTCCATTTTGTGGATAGGCTTGTTCTCATTCTCTCTGAATATGTTGCCATTGTTTGTTTGTTATTTTTTTCCCACTCTCTCGTCACTTTCCTCTCTCTCTCTCGTTCTCTGTGTGTGTTTTTTTTTTGTGCTGAACAAACAGTGGAGCGTCGTTGTGTGCTCCAAGCTTAGTTGCAACATAGCATTTACTCGCATGTGGCACAAACCAATTGACCCAAATTTAAACCAGTTCACAAATAGCTGCAAGCTGCTTGCAACCAAAACGTCGTCCTTTCACTCGCTTACCGATTGACATTAGTACACAGAAAGAAATAACGCATACAATTATGATTCAGTGAGACATCCAAGATGTATGTAAAATAAAATTGCACTAAACTTACCTTAATTAAAAAATTAAAGAAATGTGTTCTCGTTTTTTTTTTTTTTTGTCCTAACTGCAATTTATTTTTTAATATTGATTTGGTAAATATTTGTATATTTGCGTACTCAATTAAAGTAAATCGTTTTCGACATATTAAACATTTTTAGAGCTTTAAGCGAGCACATTTTAAATATTTATTCATCGATTGATGGATTGCTGTGTGAGATTAAGTTGTTAAGTGATTCTTTTACTCGCCGTGGTCATTTTTCTCAGTGTATATTAGGAAGATGCCCACTCACACATACATTTAGAGAGAGAGAGGGAGGAATGTTCAGCCATGTGTTGTGAGTGTTGTTTGTCTGATTGCCGTTAATTGCATTACACACTTGGATATGTAGGTGTTATTAATTTCATTTCTTTGTCAAGTGAATGTAATGGCATTTGGGTTCGCACCATTGGCTTGGCTATGGACTTGCAATTTGCCCTCTGCGTCTATTTGACATACATTTCATGCTCAATTAAGTAAATGCAAATAGGCAGCATTGCAAAAATAGCTCGTCCAGCTAACGAAACTCAAGTCAAATAGACGCAAAGTGTTTGATTCAATGCGATTGTGAAACTTTGTGATAAAATATACTTAAAACTATTCTTGGCCTGCCGGAAGCATAAAAGTCAATTTTAATTAGACTGCGCTAAATTCAGATAATCGATAATTAATGCTTAAACTTATATTAATTCAAGGCTTGTTTGCTGTACAGCGCCGAAAGTTCAGTTTGGATGAGTTGACAGCAAAGTTTAATTGCATTTTTGTGTTCTCATTTTTTCTCGTACTTTTCGAAAGTTTTGTCAACATTTTTAAATACCTACATACATCAAAGGGGAAGTTTGATTTATCTGTATTAAAAAAGTCACGCAAGGCTTTTATAAATGCACAATTATTTATAAGTTGCAGTCATTTTTTAGTTAACTATAATTTTAAGCTATTAATAATGTTATGATATTTCTATATTGATTAAATGATTCTGAACATTAGTTATTTATTTCATATCAAGCAACATAAGAAACTCCTATCAGAAAAGCTATTTAACAGACGAGTCCAGGTTATCCCCTTGTCGAGCTGTCTGTGAAGATTCGAACTTGACTTTGACTCCGTTTATTTATTCTGAGTTTAACTAGAATGCTGATGATTAGCCAAATCCCAACTTAACTTAACTTTGACACAGGAACAGGAAGATAATGTGGTTTTGGCGTGCAGCTGCTAAAAACATTTTCCCAAAATAAATGACGTTTATTTGTGTAACCCAAAGTTGATAAACTCTTTCTATGCCTGGCATTCCAGCAATTTGAAGTTATCAAATTCCATTTGTTGGGAACTATAGCGATGAAATGTTGATTCTTAAATTAAGCACAAATATATTTTGCTGATTACTTTTCGTCAGCAGTGCGAAAGCAGTTTAGCGCTGCGGTTATTTGTTCAACTTTCTGTTGTTGTCTCAAATTGCGGAAATTACACACACACACACACACCCACACCCAAGTGAAATTTGGTGGCACAACACCATTGAGCGGTAAACAACTTTAGACACAATGCACCACATTTTCATCTTGATACCCTGTAGTCATTAAAAATGTGTCGTGATAGGCACACGGTGACAACTTCAATCTTATTCCTGATCAGCATTAATATAACTTCACATGAAGTTGATCATCTGCAATACTTACAGAAGATATTATTGAAATCGTTTATAAAACTTGCAGTGCAGGGTATCTACATGTCGTGCTCTGTCTCCACTTGAGTCTCGGATAATTTTCGTTGTTCGTTTCCTGTTTTACTTTTTTTGGCCAGAACGCACGAACAATGTCGAAAAAGGACCTTGTCTGGGGACGCTGTCGGAAAATTAGCGATTCAATGAAATGGGATTTTAAATGGCTGCAAACTTTTTAATGCGTCTACCGCCTGCCGCGTGCCACGTCCTTCTTGTTCTGCAACACAACTTTAGTTTGTGTCGAGACCTCCGGACCCGTTACTTTGGCGGGCGGGTTGCACGGGTTGCCGGGAAAAAGTTGCTGCAACGCCGAGTCGCTTTTTTTGTTGCCACTTGCAGTTGCCAGTTGCAGGCGGCGCAAAACTTTTTAAATTATGCGCACATTTGCAGCGCTGCTCTATTTCTCCACCGCCCCCACGATGGTTCCACACTCCTCGTCTTTCTGTTGCACTGCCCTGCCATGTTTCCGTCTGTTGTTGCCTGCCGCCGGAAATGGTCTTTGGCCGAAAGTGTTACACGCAGCGTGCAGCTTCAACGGATACCGTGCAACAACGACTCTGTGGACTCTGTGAAGTGCGGCTGTGTGTTCCCCATTGTGGCTGGCTGGTGGCTGGTGGCTCTTGTTCTTGTCGTTGTTGTTGTTGGGGGCGTGGCAGGTCTGTGCAAACAGTTGTTGCGCCACCAGTCGCCGTGCTTCGGTAGGCGCCAAAGGGTCGTGCGTTGAGCCACTGCAAAAAATGTGCATCTTATAGCCTGGATTCCACACTCAACATTTCTTACATTCTTGAATGTTCCCAGTAAAGTATTTTCGACGTAGGAGACAACATTTTATACATTCAACCTTCGTCAGTAAACAACTGATATTTCAAGAAAAGTTAAATCAAATTAATTTATTTTTTAATTGAAATGAAATCCTTTAAAATGTTAAAATGAGTATGTTATTTATTGGGTTGTTTTCTGAAAAGTGTCTTTGGTCTGTTTTATATTTTAATAAATTATTTTATTTTTTATTTCGCATACACAAATAATAATAAGCCGATTAGCTTTTTTATATAAGTCAAAATGTGATTTTGTGACTCCCACAATGGAATCGCGAAATGCGACGAATGTGAATGTAATAAATGTTGGGCGTACTGAAATAAGGCTAAAATTTAAAATTAAATAAAATCTGCTCCTATTAATTTTCCCAAATAGAATTTCTACAACGCACATTTTGGTCGTTTTCAAAACTAATCCAGCCTATTACTTACTAAATCCCAGGTTATTTTTGGCTTAAAATTCAAGGCTGCATTATTCAGCAGCTTCGGCTTACGGGTTTGAATCTGTACAAATATATCCTGTCTTAAAAGTGCACAGTAAAACTTTACATTTTCTTCTACATTTTCAAAAACAGCTTCAAATATATATTTATTCCACCAAACTTGCTTATAGCCAGCAGAAGGCAGAAAAATAAATTATTTTCTAAAAATATATTTCGCATATATAGCTCTCTAAAAAAGAGTTAACCCAAAAAAGAGAAGTGCGACTTATATTTAAAGTCAACTTTCTTAGTTGTGGCGCATATATTTTTTGTAAGAGTGTAGCTATCACATTCAATTTATGGGTTTGCGCTGATATCAATTTTATTTGTTTATTATTTTTCTTTGCACTTAATGAAGAAAGTTTCTAATTACAAAAATTCCTGGTTTTCTTCTGTAGGACACGCAGTGTAGTTTGCTGTATGTGCAACGCACGCCAAGCATTTGCCCCTTCCTGGGCCTGAGCACGCCGCCACAGGACGATGCGGATGCAGGCAGTGGCACGAGCAGCACCACCACTACAACAACGACAACAACAACAGCTAGGAGCACAACGGGTAAGCAGTCGCCAAATGATGCAACGACAACTGCAGCATCCGATGCTGCAGAAGTGGCATCTGTTGCCCGCCCAACGGCCTCCGTGGGCGGTAAGTGCTATCCAAAGAGCCCCTTTTTGTTTTTCAACTTTCACGAATCATCATTTGCAGAGATCCTGGGCATTATCCTGTCGGTGACGTGCTTTGTGGCATGCGTCGGACTCTTTGCCATCTCGCCATCGCGAAGGCAACGCGTGCGACGACTCTTTCGACGCAGCAACTCTTCGGTGCGATACTCGAGGGCAGGAAATAATCAACAATCTTGATCCATAGAGATTTCTTACAAAACAATATTATCTTTGTTACAGGTGCAGTCCAACGAGGAGGCGAATCTGCTGCTGGAACCCAATGGCGAGTTCACCGAGAGCGATGATGATATGCTGCTTTAAACATAAAGGATATACCACCCCTTAAGTCCAGGCTGTTTTACACAAGTGATGGAGAGTTAAATATAAAATCTACTAATTAATATAAAAGAAAAGAAAAGACATGAGAAAATCCCAAAGTTAGGAACGTTCAACACCAAAGAAGACAGAGAAAATAATAGATATTCGCAACTGATTGTGAGCTAATGCAAAAAAAAAACAAAAAAACTGATAGTAGACAAGTAATGAATTTTTCGAGTTTTGAAAGAATGCTTATGATACTATACTACATATATATATATACTTAATTATCGTGTCATACGACGTCTATGGAAGACAACAACGACAACAAACAAATCCCAATTAATGGAATTATAAGTGTATATGCCTAAAAATAATATTATATATATTTTATATACTTGCACTTTACATATGTAAAGGCATCAAAAACCCCAAAACAACAAAAAGCCCTTTAGCTATATATACTATATAGTTTACACCAGAGAATTGCATGCGACAATTGATTTCTAGTATTTTTCCAAAGCAGCATTAAAATTTCAACTGAAATGTTTGCCTTCAACAAGTATTTAACTGCAATGCAAGCGCAGATTAATAATGTTATATTTTTTTATTGTTTGTATTTTGTTTACGATGAGACTGGGCTAAATGTACTTAATTTTGTTGTTCTGTTTTTAGCTACTTTACTTTTGTTCTTATTAGCTTAAGCCGTCTGTAAAAATGTTCAGTTTTCTTTAAAATACTACGCCAATAATTAAATGTAAATCTATATATGCTCTGTATAAAAAATAGATTTGAAAAAATATAAGCAAAGTCAAAAATATATACAAAAAAGAAAAATTTGTTTGTGTCGTTCGTCTTTGATGACATTTTTCTTCTATTACAGCAGTCAAATTCAATTTCCTCAAGTTTCAGCTTCAAATCGACAGGTTAAATTCCAGTCGAACAGCAACCAGCAACATTTCAACTTGAACATCAGGCTATTTCCGCCATCTGTGCGCCTGGTAGGAAGGCCAGTTTCACGTGAGTAAGCTTGAACATCAAACAAATAATTAAAAATTTTTTAAAATACTGAAAAAAACAAAAAAAAAAATATATATATATATATATATATATCAACAGCTAGAGTTAAAACTTATTTTAAAAATTGTGCATACCTTAAGAGAGCTGCATCTTTGAAAATTCACCATCTTTCAGTGGATAAGGTTCTTCCATTATGATAAATAAATACACACAATTTGAAATTAATTTTTAAAATATATTTTATTTATTTGTATTTGTATACTTCACACACTGGTGTACACAATTACATTGAATGATGTAATTGTACATATGCATATGTACATACACGTGTGTTTTCATTTTGTATAAGTAAATGAGTGTTTTTGTCTGCATAAATTTGTAGGTACCTTAGGCAATACATATTATTTCAGAGACATGACATATGTAGCTACTTATACATATCGGCTATGCGTATTATTATTGAAATGCGAAAACGAAGAAATATAATGTATGTATGTATGTATGCTTGTATGTATATGCATTAGGTTGATAAAGTGATGTATGTATGGTAGTAAATATGTTGTATGCCGTGTATAGAGTGCATTTACGAGTACTTTCAGTTAATAGCGTCATGACAAAGAGATGTGTAAATATTAAACGTATATTTATATATTTTAAATGAGATTTTTTGTTATGCATTTGGAAGTGTACAAAATTTTCCATTTGTTTGTATGTACAGTGGGATAGGTCAGTAGATACCAATACATACATACAAAGAGGATGATAAATTTCTTGTTCTTCGTTTTAATATATTTATAATTTTTTTGTTCTTTTCTTTTTTTGTTTTTAATTACATTCAGTACACGGCATAGTTTTATATGCTACTATTTGGATACGTCATATGTATGTATATATTGCATGTGCATTACTTATAGACAAATCATAGATTGTATAAGAAAAAAAAAAATAAAGCTCAATTTGTTCAAAAGTTCTATAAAAACTTGAGATTCGTGCAGGAAGATGATAAAAATTAAATTGTGAGCTTCCTTAGCGTGCGTTTCAACTTAAACAAAGAAAAAATGTACAATATCATAAGTAGTAGTATAATGAATAATGTACAAAATAATTAAGATTGCTTATGCTTAACTTACATATACTATGTATTTAACACTAAACAGAATGATAAGCTCTTAATTAGCCTAAGTTTAGTTTTAGTTTTTGTTTTTGTTTTTAGTTTCTCATTTTCTTTTCTGCTTTCTGCTTTCTGTTTTTCTTTTGTTTTTTGTTTTTGTTTTTCTTTTCTTTTTTTTTTCTATGTCAACAAAGGCCACATGAAATTTTGAAAATTGCGAATTTTCACCAATTTAATTTTGTTTTGCGCTTGGGAATTTCTTGTAAAATTATTCTACAGAATTTCAGCTAGACAGAAAAAAATGACACACCCACACACACACACTCGAACACACACACACACACACACACACACACTGACACACACATTCATACACAGAGCATAAAATGTAGGATGATTTTTGCAGAATTTGAGAATTTGTTTTGTCTAGTCAGAATTTGCATCTAATTTTTTATACATTCAGCTGTGGGTGCAACATTTGGATTTGGGTTTGGGTTTGGGCTTGGGATTGGTCATAGCAAAAGGATTTGGAATTTGCCTTCAATGGAACAGGAGCTCATCGGCGTCGGGCTCCGTTTTGTGCCACTTCTATACATCGCTCTGCTTGGCGTTCGTATTGATGATGAAGGCGCCATTGATGTGTCCATTGCCATGATGATGATGATGATGTGCCTTGCCATTCGGCGCATAGAGATTGGTTAGGCCATTCTTGCCGTTGGCAATCATGATTGCCGTATGTGGAGTTCCGCCATTCAGTTGGGCCACCAACGGATTCTTTGTGGTATCGCCGGGCGGTGTCGTCAGTGGCGGCGTCACTGGCGATGGCTTAATCAACTCCAGTTTGTCATCGGTGGATCCCTTGAGGGCCGATTTGATCAGCGAACCATTGCCCTGACTAACACCGATGGGCGACCGATGGGGCAGAGCATAACGCAACTTGTCCCAGAACCATGGATCACCCCACTTCAGATAGGTGTTCATGCGCAGGTACGCCTTCAACTCATCGTCGAGCTGTTCAATGTCGCCAATATCTGAATAGATGATGACTATGACACGAGATCTGCCCTCATTCAGCGCTGATCTGTGTGCCGCCCTGAACTCCATGCGAGCCCAGTCCGATTTAATGAAATTCGGACTCAGCACAATAATCGTTCTTCTCGAATCCGCCACAGATCGAACAATGTTCTCGGGTATGAAGCCACCAACGAGCCAATTTCGCACATGAACGCATAGTGTGAACTTTTGTGGTCCATGCTCCAGCTGCGGCACCAGATGTTTCTCCACGAAACTCTGATCCTTCTGCGAGTACGAGATGAACGCATCAAATTTCTTATCCTTGTCGAGCTCGGCCTCGGTGACAAACCACATGCACAGATTATGGGCATACAGCCAGATCTTGATCTCCTGCTGGTATTTGTAGTAGAGAGCCGCCGAGATGCCCAAAAGGAAACCGGCCAGCGAGATGATGACGGTGACAGCGATGAGCAGACTCTTCGGTCTCGGACATATATCATTGATATTCAGTTCCATTAGACGCGTCGGCATCTCGGCATCCATGCAAAACATGTTCGTGTGATCCGGTATCCTTTCGTATTTATTTTGCGTGAATAGCAACAATTCCCTTGCCCCACAATTACAGATCCAGGGATTCTGGGAGAGTCGCAGTGTTACATTATCCAAGGTGCTGTTGAGATACCCAAGCACACTGGAGTTGAGCAACTGCAGCTGATTCCGACTCATATCCAGATACTTTAGATTTGCGGGCAATTGACTGGGCTCCAGCTGAGTGAGATTATTGCCGGCCACATACAATCTGGTCACGTTTTCATAGCCGGGTGCATTATTTTGCGGCAACTTGAGCAGCGTATTGTTCTCCACATACAGCTCCATCTCGAGGAGATTTTGCGGCAGACGCGGCAGTTTGGGTATCTTGGTCAATTCGCCATTCGAACAGTTGACAATCAGAGTGGAGTCAAAGGTGCGCACCAGACACTCACAGTGGCTGGGACAGCGGCGCTCCTTGGGATCCTCGGCCTGGTCAAAATTGCAGACGAGTTCGCTCGGATGCACAAATCTCATTGCACGATCCGCTAGAGCAATCGGCGCCTGGCAATTCAGTCTATCCGTATAAGTGATTAAATTCTTGGCATAATCCGGCTGAATGTCGCCACGCACCACCTGTAAAAATCTCAGCAGGGTGCAATCGCAGACCAAGGGATTATCATTGAGGTCCACGTGAACCGATTTCACGCCGTGCACCAGTCGCAAACCCTTGTCCAGCGGCTGGAACTCAGTCTGTTTGTAAAAGTGCACCGTGTGCAGCTGATTGTGGGACATGTTCACTGTCAAGTCAAACGCTGAGACAAAGTCCAGATCGGAATAATCCAGCCACGTAAAGTTATTGTAGCTCAAATCAATCTCCTGCAGTTCCCTCATCGCATATTTCCAGTCACTGAAGATCACCATTAGCGAGTTATTGCGCAAATTGAGCGTTGTCAGATTGCGAAGATGGGCAAATGGTGAGCCCAGATCCATATCCACGCCATGCACAGTCAGATATTCGTGCAGATTGATTCGGTTGTTCGCCAAATTCAGTTGACGCAGCAAAGTGTTGCCGGCAAATGCCTGAGGACGAATCGTCAACAAGCGATTATCATTCATACGCAGCGTCTTCAGATTCATCAATTTGCTAAACAGTTTGCTGTAAGCAGAGACGAAAAAAAAAAATTGGAGACAGAGAATGAGTTCATATTCAATTGAGATAAGATTATTAAAAAATTACAATTGCTTAAAATGAGAAACTCGCGCTTAAATTAAAATCGTCTTGAGAACTAGAAAGTTTATCTAGTTTGTAGAAATCATTTCTGTATATAAGATGCAATAAATTATATAAATTAGAAAAGTATGTCCTAAATAAATCCTTATCTTTGTATTTTTTTTTATTTTTATCTACAAATACCAATGTCTACTAATAATACAAATAACAGAAAATCTAATATTAAATCACTAATATGAAAAAACACCTTAGAAATTGGAGAAATTTTTTCTGCATTTGAGGCAAATTAAGAAAAACTGAAATAAAGTAAGCCTTGGGAACAAATTTATGAGGAATTTTAGAAATGCAGGACGATCTTTTCTTGAGCTTAGTGTCAGGACGTAAGCAAGCAGCAAGAAAAGCGTTAGGCTTGCTTGCTTAATCTGATAAAGCTATTCTTCTTCCAATCTTCTTGAATGCCAATCGAGCTATGCATGGACCACAAAAAACCATTGAGAGATTAATCAAATCAATTTGAGGTAAATGTCATCAGAGACGCACACAGCTCAAGCTGTAAACTTACCTTGATATTTCTGTTAGCTGATTTTCGGCGAGATTCAGCGTCTCCAATTTGACCAGATGATGAAAGATGCCATCTGGCAGATGACTTAAGAGGTTCTTGTGCAAATCCAAATTAATCAGATTCAACTGTTGCTCCAAAAATTTGGCTGGCAATGTGCTCAGCCGATTGTCATATAGCGAGATGTCTGTCAAGGCCGTCGAGTTCTCGATGAGATCGGCTGCAAGTGTTTCCAGTTCGCAGCGCAAATAGAGGGTGCGCAGCTCGGGCAGGTTGGCAAAGAGGCGAGCGGGCAGGTTGGCCAGAGGCACACGATTATTTTGCAACTTGACCTGCTGCAACATTTTATTGTGCTCAAATAGGCCCTCGGGCAGTGAGCGAAAACTGTTGCCATTCAAATTGATCTCTGTCACATTGGTGAGCAGGGCAAAGACATCCGGCTTGAGCTGAACGATGCCATTGTTATGCAGATCGATATCCTTGACGGAGGTGGCGCCCTCAAAGTCATGCTTGCTGAGATTGTGCAACTGATTGCTCCACAAATTCAAATGCAACAGCTTGTGCAGATTGTGAAAGAGACCGCGTGGCAGCTGCTTCAAATTGTTGCTGCCCAACTCGAGAAACTGCAAGTTCTCCATGTTGGCGAGCAGGCGAGCGGGCAGCGCACCCAGATTGGCAGCACGCATATCCAGCCAGTTGAGCAGATGCATATCGCTCAGCAGATCCTCGGGAATGTACGGCAAACGACGTGCAGCAAATCGCAAACGTTGCAATTTCTGCAGCCGCTCGAAGTGCATCCGTGTGAGATTCACGTGCAGATCATTACCCTCAAAGATGAGCACCTTCGTATCCCGGATGCCCAAATGGTCCATGATGCCAGCGATGGGTGTGTGATGGGGCAGTGGACAACGCTTGATCTGCACCATATTAATGCTACCAATGCTCAGCTTGGGCATCTGTGTGTATTCGGAGGCATCTGTCAGATTGCATTCGATCTGCACTGTGCTGCCGGGTCGAATGGTAATCTTAAACTTGGGATTGTAACTGTTGCCGGGACAATTGAGTTCGTATTCCGACAGCGAGGGAGCACATTCGCAGGACGATATGGTGAGATCTCGACAATCATCGCGGCCAAAGAGTGCCTCGCCTAGCGGCCAGTTGAGCGCCTGGACAACCAGCACCAGCAGCAGCAAGGACAGTGGCGCCGCTGCGCTTACTTCACGCATCCTGTTCGCAGTGGATGTTCTTGTTTGTGTCTGCAAATAAAGAGATCAGATTTTCTAATAAGCCAAACTATTTATTTCGTATACTTTTGTATACTTCAAATAATATTATTCATTTTATGAATGGCCTAAAAGGCATTTGAAATGTCTTTATCAATATAAAAAGGTCAAGCTGAAACTACTATTTAAATATCTCAATATCCCTTCTGGCTTGAGAACATTTAGCTCTCTGTCGTTAGTCCTCTATTTATAGTGTACACTGGACATAATTATCCTAATTTAAAATGTATGCTGATGTATCCTACATTCTATTATTATATTTAAGTATCAATCCTGGGCTGTAAATAACACGGTAACACAAGTTTTTCATTTTACTTGACACTTTAATAATGTCTATAATTAAATTCTCCGGATGTGTTCCCACACTTTGTCGACTTTCGAGGATACAAGATATTTTCGTGTTCTCCCTCAATTTATTTTTTAAATCAATAGAACACAAAAAAGTTGGAATACTCTAGTCGATACTACTCGACTAGGAGATACCCTAAGCTCAGCTTTTAAGTACAGTGTCAACTTGTTTATATTAATTTGTTCAATGTGATTAACTTGTTAATGCTCTAATATTCTTTAACAGACGGATATAATTCTTGATGCTTTCTGCTGCCTGTGACATATTTGTGCACAACTTCATTATACCCTTTTTACAGTTTTCAATGTGTTCAGGGTATACAAAGTTATTACTTAAACTGTTTAAAAGTGAGTTTTCATTAAAAAAAAATTGAAAGAAAACTTTTTTAATGGGCAACTTTTAAGTAGCACCTTTTCCCCAAAGGGAGGCGACAGGTGAAAGTGCGTGGAAAAAAAGGTTCATAAAACACAACTCGAACGCATGCAAAAACCAAAAGGGAGAATTTTCATTTTAATTGTCGAATATATGATGGATAGAATGACGGGCGCGACAGATGCAAATGATGCGTCCAGTAATAACTGTCAGGGAACAAATGGAAAAAAGATGAATTTAATAGCAAAGTAAGAAAAACAAGGACTCATGTGCGTTTCACAAAGGAGAGGCTGTCCACGTGCGGAGGGAGAGCATGCACTGAGAGAAAAACGCTGTTCTTTGTGGGCTCAACTCTGATTTTGACGTAGAAAATACTGTTATTAAGGATTTACCTGCTTAAAACAGGTTTTATATCAAGAGAGATAAATAAGATAATAATAATAATAAGTAGACTAAATCACTTTCATCATGCATTTAAATTAAAACAAACTAAGAAATATTTCTAAGATTTCTGAGAGTATTTATTTTATTATTTATTCTACGATGATAGCTTTGGATTGTTTTAAGAACTCTAAGTTAGCTAGTATGTGTAATGTTTTTAAGTCACACTTTTTCTAAAAAGTAGATCAAGATTATTTTTAATTTCTCTCGCAGACGTTTTTCTCCTCACGCAGATTCTGGAAATAGCAATTTTCATTTACTGTCCAACATTTTCAGCAATGTTGATTGACGTACAAATTGCTCAATTTATTTTGCAAGTGTACTTTTCTGTTGTTCTATCTCTCTCTCTCTCTCAGTCGCTCTGTGCCGCTGTGAAAATAATGTTGCATTATGTGTTTGGCACACCTCAAAGGACTCCACACACATCCCTCCAGCGAACGTGTGTGTCCCAGCGAATTCAGCTTTATCGTTTTACTCCACGCTCTGTGTGAAGTAATTACGTTCGAAGGCAGCGTTTCCAATTTTGTAAAATGTTCCCTGGTTTTTTCTGTCCGCTCCTCTCGCGTTTATTTATTTTGTTTTTTTTTTTTTGTTTGGGTTCCCCAAATGTTGTGGACGGCGTGCACTTTACGGGCTTTGTGCACTTAATGAATTTGTCATGCTCTCGAATCGAATGCTGTTGCTTAAAGCTTTAAGCGAATTTCGGCTCGAAAAAGGGACATTTTAATTGTGCCCATTAGGCGGAGGATGGCAAGTTTTTGAATTGAATTCAATTAAAACTTTTCGTATGCTTCTGATTTGCTCCTTTGTTGTTGTTGTTTTTGTTGTGAGCAGATCAGAGCAGAGAAGTGGAGAAAGGTGGAGAGAAGACAAACAAGACCAGTTTGGGCCGCATTTAGGCTGCACACATTTGGGCGCCATAAATTTGTTGGCTCTGACAGCTGCTTTTGACTGAAATTTTGATAAGGCAATTAAATTATGCGCGCTATAATTTGATTTCCAATTTCGGTGACTTTCCAGCTTGCCTTTGCAGACATCACCCGCCGGCTCCTGAACAAAAATGTACAATTTACTTGCCACTTGGCTTTAATTAGCCGACAACAATGATGCAATTTTCAGTACTGCCGCCTCTTTTGCTTCAAGCAAGTTTAAACAATTATAATTATAGATATTGCATTTTTAGCGCTTGGCTGAACCTTTTTGCTTCCTTATCGATTCGATTGTGGGCAGATTATTACTCGAGTGAAGCAGCTTTAATTGAGCCTTGCTTTAGGCAAGTTATACACAAATATTTTTGAGAAGAATTTTCGCGCATTTCTTTCATTATAATTATGGAGGCTTAATCAACACATTTATTTGCTCAAGTAATAATCTAAAGTCCGATATACTATCTGACGATTTGCAATATTGGCCAAATGCTGCTCTAAGCGATTAGGCAGCCAACATTAAAACCAACTCGGTGATTGGCGCATTCATTGAGTCTGCTAATCGATGTGCAGACAGAAGGCGGAGCCAAGTTCAATGCCCAAGTGTCGTGTGCCAAAATCCATTTAAATCTCAACACCTGATTTTGCTCAGCCATAAATAGAAGTGTGTGTTTGTGTGTGTGGGTGTGGATATTTATGCCAGAAGCTAGGTAAACGGCAGCTGCAACTGCTCCTCCTCATAGCTATTTGTATGGCCAACTTCAATTTCGCATAAAACTTTAAGCACTTTCGCCCGTTGGCGGCCAAGTTAACCGTGCAATGGATACGTATAACAACAACTACCAACAACATCACCCCCTCCCCATCCCCACCCATCCCTGTTACCACTCCGCTTGCAGCTTGCCGCCTTATGCCACGAGGGTCTGTTTTGGCGTTTAAATTTAGCTTGGCTTATCTAAACTGGCAATGCTTGCTAACTCGGTAGCTACACAGCAAGAAAAAAGGTGTGCTTATGTGAGCATTTAGATGTACTATTTTTGATACCTATTCCTATTCAATCGTTTCTTCTTTAAAATAATAGCATTGATTTAATAGAAATAAATAGAAAGTGATAATTATGACAACAACATTATAAGATTAAAGTACACTTAATAGAATTTCTCACTGTGTAGCTGTGCTAGTTTTTATGCCCTGAACCCATTAAAAACTAATGCAAGCAGTACAATGAAGTTGTGCAGAAGAATGCGCAAAACCAAATGAAGTATTTGAGGGTATCTGGTCGTCGAGCACTCTCGACTGGAGCTGGAGCTGGAGCATAATACTTGTATTTATGTGTTGTTGTTGCCAAGACTTTCAACATTTATATTCACTTAAGAAAATTACTTTTAACTTTTATGCCACGCTGACCGTGTAAATAACCCACTTGCAATGGCCAAAAGGAGCTGCTGCTTTGCATTGATATGCTTGAGTGTTTGTTTGTTTGGCTTGTTTGGCTTGTTGGCTTCTTGCCTGGTTGGCCTGGCCATCTCGGCAATCTAATCTAAGCGAATTGCTGTTGACAAGTTTTTAGCTCAGCCAATTGGCAGCAAGATGAGCAAAATGTGACTAAAAAAGCAAACCTTACAAATATTTAATGAGTTTCAGCCAAGCACAACTTGTATGTGCCCAAGTGTGTGTGTGTATGTGTGTGTGTGTGTGTTTGTGTGCCTATGGAGAAAATTGAAAGCCTACTTTATTGCTGGCAATTAAGTTGGAATGGCCAAGAGGAAAGAGGAAGGAAGAAAGTGCTCCGCCATCGGCACCTCATTTTCTGATCCTGCCTGGCAATTAAAAATAATTGTTAATTTTGAACGTCACAAACACACACTTGCACACACACACACTTGCACACACACACACACTTGCACACACACACACACTTGCACACACACACACACACATACATGCACACAATTATAAAGTCATACACCGTTTTCTTCCTCTTTTCTCACTGCTTGGCATTTGTCTGTTTTAATTAGACGCTAACCTCGCAACCCAACCCCCCCTCCCCAACACACTCCTCTCCCGTCTGTCGTTAATAAAGGTTAACGAAGTTTTGCCAACGCGCAGATTTCTCACATATTTATACACACCCACACACACACACACACATACACACACGGACACATTCCTCAGAAGAGAGTGCGCATTTTTGCACTCACATGCTCTCTTTTCCGGTATGTAACGGCACTAAATTCATTAGGCACACTAAATTACAACCGCACCGAACTGTTGGTAAGGGCTGTAATGGTGCCGGGTGGGAGGGGGGGAGGTGTACCGGAGGTAGCAGGTATAATAAGTTTAGGTTGAGTTCAGTTGAAGGGGGGGCAGGGTGTCTGCTCTGTTCTGTTCGTGCCAGTTGACGCCAGGTTGCCAGCAACAAGACTTGGATTTTTATTGCGGCACCCTCCTCCATCTCTACAAAATACTTCAATGTGTGTTGAAAAATATGTATGTTTGTGTGTGTGTGTGTGTGTGTTGTATGTGTGTGTGTGCTGCCTGCTATTAAATAGTCGCACCGCCCACAACGCGCTTTTGAAAATTGGCTTTCGCATGCCTGCGGTGCGCTTTATTACTGCAAGCAATACAAAATAAGTGAGAAAACAGAGTCGACAGCCACACGACTAACAGATACCCCGTAGTCGGAACAAAGCTAAAAATCGGTGACTTACTATTAGTAAAAATCTGAATATATATGAAAAGAATAAAAAATCATCATGAAATGATTACCTATGATTAACTTGGGGATAAATTAAATATGTAAACAACGTGACCAACAGATACCCTGTAGTTACAACTAAAGGAATATAGATGTCTAATTGCTTCTAAGGGTGCGTATAAAAGAT